TTCTGGTGTGACCCAAAGTTTCCAGGTGGACAGGGACACTCTTACTAGGCATTACATTCCAAGAGTTGAGACTTTTTACAGAAGTTGAGTGGTAAACGCAGGCCTCTCTTTGGGCAAGGTGAAATTCTTTACACTTTTACAACAGTAGTTAAATATATTTTTGTATTTTGAGACTGCAAAAAGTAATTAGTTAAGGTTTGATTGATATGAAAAGTTGATTACTAAAGAACCCATAAATAGGTAATTAAAATTTGGTATTTAATACTTAATTCTTATTAAGTACCTAAGGAAGTTTCATTAAGAAATATTAACTTAATATTTCATTATAGTAAAACTGAGGTAAACTCATTTATAATTTTTAATTTTGGCTTGATGGTTCAATTCTGTTTTATTAAATTTGAACTTACTATTTTCTCCTGTGGCATTTCATATAATGAAGTCCCTGAGCCTCCCAACTTAATTTTTTAGCCACAGATTCATATTTTAGAGCAGTGTCTCTCATGTGAAAGTGTGATGTACTCAAGTCTCAGAGTTATGCATAGTTTCACCTTTTCTCTTACACTTTTTTTTCCCATTTTTTTTTTATTAGTTGGAGGCTAATTACATTACAATATTGTAGTGGTTTTTGTCATACATTGACTGAATCAGCCATGGATTTACATGTATTCCCCATCCCGCTCCCACCTCCCTCTCTACCTGATCCCTCTGGGTCTTCCCAGCGCACCAGGCCTGAGCACTTGTCTCATTCATCCAACCTGGGCTGGTGATCTGTTTCACCCTAGATAATATACATGTTTCGATGCTGTTCTCTCGAAACATCCCACCCTCGCCTTCTCCCATCTCTTACACTTTTTTGAAAGTATGTCTGAATCCAGGTGAGTAAGAGACATCACAGGGATAACCTTGAATTTATTTTTAAAAGGTAAATTTTTAGGGGTATGAACTGTTAGTATGAAAAACAGTATACTCTGCAACGGTGATGCTCTCTATCTTTGAGTGCCACTGCTTCAGAGAATCAACGCATTCCCACCTCATTGGCTTTAGTGCAGATCTCATTTCCTGCTTGATCCTCACTACAAATTAGATCTCACCATTAAGAGTGAAATCCCTTAATAAGCTTAGTTAAAAAACAGCCTGAAGCAATATCAGGCTTTTTCTGGGCACCACTAGGTGTGGTGTTTGCATCAAGTCATTTTGGGATGCTTTATGGAAATATTTTCTGATAGAGGATTCCCTGACTTCACCTTTGCAGGCTGATTTTCCCCCCCTCCTTAGTTGCTTTTCATGATGCTTACAAGAACTGGACTATAAAACCACATTTAGGGGTGACATCCTATCCCTAACACTCGGTAGGTTGTTGATGTGAGATCCCAGGGCTTGGGTCAATGAAAATGAATAATCTCTCTGATTTATTACATTTTCTGTATATTAGGTAACTAAAATGAGTGGTAACTGTATTTGCATGTGATTTGTGTGTTATAGTTAACATTTAAATTCTCTTTGGTTCTAAAATTTTTTTCACTGCCACCTCAAGCCTCTGTCCTCTAAGGCAGAGAGTGGCATTCCATCTCAGTTTTTGCTTCAGCATATGAACCCTAGAAGGCCATAGTGCAACTAAAAGCACCTAACCCATGAATGATATTTGCTTCATGTTTGGAAAACAAATGTTTTAACCCACTGTCCTCACTAATATTGTAACTACTGTCTTACAGATTGACTTGATGCAAAAACATCACAAAGGCTCCATATTATACAGTATGCGATTTTTGAGGTATGAGCTTTAGAAACTTACCTCTCATGTGGCATGTACATCAGGCTTTAACTTCAGTTTAATCATTTTGGGGAATTTATGCATTTCTTTTTTTTTCCCTCTCTCTCCATAATATTTTTAGATTATTAAAAGGGCTGTGGAGGTATTTTTGCGTCCTAGCTAGGATACTTAGTCTTAACAAATACATTTTCTTTTATCACTGAATTGAGATACTAATTCTGGCAGATAGTTTTTTCAGCCCTTACAACTAGCTTAACATTTATGCCTGCCTCTTTGAGTTCAATCTGCATTTTCTTTTTAGTGCCCTTTGATTGCTTCATTTTAAGTGCTTATTTCCATTCTTAACAGTTTTCTATTTATTGGACTGCGATGATCTTGTTGATGCTAACTGCCTGATACTGACTTTTTGAGAACTAAGCTGTTTAGATCTTGTAAAAAGAAAGATTTCATATAAGTGCTGAACCATTTTGTGTCTTTGGGTTCAGAATATCTATAAATTGAATTCTTGTTAGAAGTAGTTTGATTGGTTTGTATTAAAAAAACCTGGCAACCAGGGAGTTTTTAGACATTTCTGAGACAGTAGTTCTAGTGAATTTTTCATTATATTTCTGAAAACTCAAATTCTGGGGAGAAAAGTCTCTGTGTTTATTTGTGTATATACTAATGAGATTTTATTTCTAACAAATTGGGAGATTTGTTCTGTTTTTTTGTTTAGTTTTGTATGATTCCTAAGTAGAAATGAATTTCTTGGAAGTAGTGGATTGCTTAATTTTTTCAATGAAGAAGTTAAAATCAGTTTATTGTATGCTGAGTATAAAAACTTGTTTTGATCATAAAAAAATGATTTATATTTATCTGTTAGACTGGAAACCTTGAGTATATTTAGTATTATGGACCTGCTGACTTTGAGTGTACCTTGTAAGCTAAGTATTTCTTAAGAACTTGTTATCTTTCATAATAAGCCTTATAAAAACATCATGTGTAGGTATTATCCCCATTATATGCAACAGACATCAGAGGCTTGGAAGTTAACTTCCTTGTGCAAAGTCACAGGTACCTGTCCAGAGCTGGAGCTGAGATTTGAGCCTAGATCTTTTTTTAACCCATATTCTCTGTTGCCTTGTGTTTACTGCTATGTCATCAGAAAAAGATACACATATTTAACTCTTCATAGTAAGAGTAGTATATGTAATCTATATTAAGCATAATGGACACTAGAAATCCAGAATATTTTAATATCTATTTAAATATTGATAAGACTGTAATTATCTTGATGTTTCAGGATTGTTTTATTAATTCATTTGCTAACAGTTTCCTTTTCCAGGTTGTTAGGTGCCATAAATACAGACAAGTTTAAAGTCTGCCCAAATCATTAAAGCTTATAGATTCTTTTGTTTTTCAACTCCTTTTTAGAAGTTAACGGTATGTTACGGTTTATTATAGGTGCTCCTTGAGTATGCTACTTTTAGATACATGGGGCAAGTCATTATGTAAGTTTAAGGAGTTCTTATGCTTCATTTAGGGGTAAAGGCATTAAATGCTTGTAGACTTACTACACTTAGACAGTATCCTCATACCTTTTTTTAAAATTCCATAGATTTTATTTTTTCATATGTTGGAAGTTCTAAGCTTTGTTGAGTGAACTCTGAATGTTTGAAGAATATACTCCATTATAGAACCTTGGTTATACGTTTAGTTAGTATGCTAGCGTTATGAATTTTTATTAAGTTTCAGATTCAGAGCCTTTAGGAATAATTTAGACTTGTGTGCCATTGAGGTGTCCAAGTTTAATTGAACCTATTTGTCTACATTCTGTATTAACAACGGTTGCAGTAGGTTCAGATCAGGATGTCTGAGCCTATGCAACTTTTTCATATTTAGTATTGTTGTGGGTGAGGACAAGGAAAGGATGATAAACTCTAAATAAAATACACAGACACTGTGTCCTTTTTTATACATGGGGAGGGGAATGGGATTGAGAAACAGCTGAGTTTCTGCTCTTGCCAGTGTCCTTAATGTCCCCAGATAATGTCACCAAAAAATTATGATGCAGAAGGTGTTTTAGTAAGTATCATAAGAATGATTCCCCCCCGCCCCCCAAGAAGGTCGTTCCTCTCGGAAAAAATAGCAATATTAGAGGAGCATTTTTCTTCATACTTTTCATGTGTTACCATAGAGTAGTTAGTGTTGTCTTATATATCTTGATACCTTATTTCTTGATAGTTGATTGAAGAAAGAATAAGGTTCATGAGAAGTTACAGAGTTTAGCTTCCTATTTTACTGATAGGGCCATTGGGGCATAGAGATGATCCTTAGATAAGCATACTGATTTTACCTTGGGGCTGTGCCATTTGTTTATTAATATCCAGATATCTGGGATTATTCTAGGTAGCATTTGAATTTTAAATAGATTATGGACTGCAACCTTCAGCTTTATTGGATTCTTGGATACCTTGCTTTTATTTTCCTTACTTTTTATAATTTCAGTAGATATTATATTTTTAATTGACTCAGTCTTTACTATTAATAGATATTGCTTGTATAAAGAATATCTATTAATAATGAAGTCCTCAGTATTACCATAATCTTATTTTTCAACTGTGTTCTTTCCTAATACCCTACTGAGCATGCTTTCTAATTTCATTCTGTAATCTTATTTTCTCACCAAATAGTTAAGCTACGAATTTAGGTGAGAGAGACAGAGTGCCACATTACCGTTAGGCAGTAGTTTAAAAATAATTTGGTAACACTTTGCTCCTGCCTGATATGTTGCCAGTGTTTTTTATTTTTTGACTGAGAAGACTGATTTTCCACTGGTTAACCTTCTTATGAGGGAAGGCAATTTAGAAACAACTATTCCTTTTATCAAGTCATGTGAAAAGAACCCTGGACCGTGGTGACCAGCTACCTCAGTTTGCCTGGGACTAAGGGAGTTCATAGGACATGGAACTTTCAGTGCTAAAACCAGTTTAGGTGTTGAGTTGGCCACCCTATTCCTGAATGTTATTCATATTTCTGAATGAATCTTTAGATAGTAGAAGAGACTGAAAAGCTGGTGTTTCACTCATTGACAATCTCTTCCTGGTTGAAAGACTTCTTATTAGATGTTGGAGTGCTTTTGTATAATAGCAATGAGAAGATAGAGGCTTGTATAGAAGAAAGATTTACGGTTTGGGTTATCAAAATGTTTTTTTAAAGTTGTAACTTTATACCCTTCTCTCTTTTGCAGAACTGATAGTGCATCAGCCGACCCAGATAATTTAAAATACTCTTCATCCAGAGATAGGGGTGGGTCTTCCTCTTATGGACTGCAACCTTCAAATTCAGCTGTGGTGTCTCGGCAAAGGCATGATGATACCAGAATCCATGCTGACATACAGAATGACGAAAAGGGTATATACTATATATTTCCTTATTGCCAGAGGCATACTTTTGTGTGTATGTGTGTTTTTTAACCTGCCTACTTCTCCTTTTCCTCCTCCTTCGCTTTCTTTCCCTCTCTCCCCTTCTTTTCTTCTAGTATGTTTAAAATATAATTATTAAACACAGTGCTGTTCTTGAAACATTTTTTTGAAAGTTTACCCCTTAATTGTAAATTTAAATATACTTTTTACACATGCAGTAAAATATATAAGTGCAATTTTCTTCCCCCCAAAATATAGTATTATCACTGAGGCTAAAGTCTTTCCTGACTACTGTCTCTCCTCTGGACTTCTAAAAAGTTTTATAGTGCAAAGTCTGATCTTCCACTGAAGATAACAAAATGAAATTAAGGCATGCATCACAGGGATAGAGTAGAAGCAAAGGCTGGTTGAGCTGCAGATTGAGTCAGAAGGACCTGAACTATCAGGAATTGATGGAGTGAAACAAAGAACCCATTGAAATAATGTAAATGTTGCTGTTTTTAGGTGGCTACAGTGTCAATGGAGGATCTGGGGAAAATACTTATGGTCGGAAGTCGTTGGGGCAAGAGCTGAGGGTTAACAATGTGACCAGCCCTGAGTTTACCAGTATTCAGCATGGCAGTCGTGCGTTAGCCATCAAAGACATGAGGAAATCACAGGGTAAGACTGGGTGACCTGGGACCAACGCACATGCCTCCACTGAGACATCTCCTAAATGCCTCGTTTCATACCAGTGCCTTGTGCATCTGTGACTTGGTCAGCTTACTGAGTTGAGAAACATGTGTCGGTGATAATTGTTTGCATTCTTTTACTTCTCAGCTGTTCCCTAACATAAATTTCTAACTTTTGAAAAGAATTCTCTTGAAATAAGGAGACTGGATAAGATTTTTAAGAAAGGATTTTCCTGGTTACAGTAGATATTAAACATATAGTGTGTAATAGGCTCTTCTGCAGCAAGTCCTTCAACTCTAGGGTGAGGGTAGGCCCCTAGAGTTCTAAAGTTCTGTTTAACTCTAGTAACAGGACTGGGCCCTTTTCTAAAGTTAAACACACAGTTAGTGCTTCTTGCTTTAATAACACAAGCCTCACTGAATGTGTAAAGTATCTTGAACGTTCATAGGATTAGAGGTAATGGGTTTTTTCCTGAAAGAGAAGTTTATTTTATTGGTGAAGCTTATTAAGAAGTCAAGATTTCTGATTTATACACTTTGTTGGATATAATTACTGTTTGGACCTTTACTTTATAACCATTTTTTTCCCAGTGAGGAGAGAGAGAGAGAGAGAGAGAGAGAGAGAGAGAGAGTGTGTGTGTGTGTGTGTGTGTGTGTGTGTGTGTGTTGTGTATCTTGGTGAACATTTTTGATTAGAGCTTTTTTTATCTTGCATGCAGCTTTAAAAAAAAGAATGATTTCTTTTAGATACATTTTTCTAAAGTGGAATGACTAAGTCATAGGCTGAAACATCTCTTAAAAGTCTTTGCAGTCTTAAGAGTTAGGTCTGGCAGAGTTAGGAGATGACTCTAAAGCTAGTTTAGTCTAGCTCCCCCTCACAGGCTCAGAGTTACACAGTTTGCTAGTGGCAGCATTGTAAATACAGCCTAGATTTCTTGACTGGTAACCTACAGACATTTTTATCAGTCATCCTTGCTGACTCTGTAGGCTAAGGCTTTTTAAAAAATCTTATTCCTTCTCTCAGATGTTATAATTTCTTTTATTATCACTTTTCCTTTCATTCCTTAGAAATGGAACTGTCAGGCCGTTTAATGTGGTTTGTGTTAATGTACATTCATTAGTTATGATGAATTGCACAGTTGAAAATTTAAAAAGAAAAATTTAACACTTTATTTAAAGCCATCTTGGTTAGTAGTGTTCAGCATTGTTTGAGCATTCCTGCTTGTTCTTGTCATTAAACAAGGGAAGAAAAGTTTTGATTTGCCACTTTCCTTGTGGCGGCATGCCTTGCACATGGTAGGTGGTAATTAGACATTTGTTGAACTGAATGTGTGACTGCAGTTCACCAAAACATTGTTCTTGAATACTGATGATGTAACAAGAGGCTCCCCTCCAGTGGGAGACCTAGGTGAGAAAGAGAAGCATGTAACCTCTTTTTGCCTGATGGTTACTTTATCTCTAAACCTGTTGAAGTTTCTTACCTGTGCTCTTTACCTGGGTGTTGAAGACAGTTCGGAACAGATCTGAAGAGAATAATTTCTAAGCCTTTCTTTTTTCTCTGTCAGTTGGTTCTCTGGAATGAGGTATCTGTGTAGGTTTATGTTTTTGAGGGTCTGCTGTGTGCCTGGCAGTCTGCTGGGGCTGGGTTTACAGTGATGAACAGAAGTGTTATGGCTGGGCTTCCCTGGTGGCTCAGTGGTAAAGAATCCACCAGCCAATGCAGGAGACATGGATTTGATCCTTGGTCTGGGAAGATTCCATGTGCTGCGGAGTGGCTAAGCCCTTGTGCCACAACTGCGGAGCCTGTGCTCTAGAGCCCAGGAGCCCACGTGCTGAAGCGACCGAAACTTGCACCCCTAGAGCCCCTAGAGCCCAAGCTCCACCGAGAGGCCCCTGTAATGAGAATCCCACACACCACAGCTCGAGTCACCTCTGCCCTCCAAAACTAGAGAAAAAGCCCCTGTGGGAGCAAAGACCCAGCACAGCCAAAAATAAATAATTATTAAAAAAAAAAGTTACAGGACTTGCATTCATTGAGCTTTGTTTTAATTGTCTGGTGGACTGTGATTATTAATATACTTTAAAATATTTGGGCTATTAAGTTTCTGTGCTGATTCATCCTCAATGTTTATGTTCACAGAGCGATCGATGTCTTATTCTGATGAGTCTCGACTGTCGAATCTTCTTCGGAGGATCACCCGGGAAGACGACAGAGACCGAAGACTGGCTACTGTAAAGCAGTTGAAAGAATTTATTCAGCAACCAGAAAATAAGCTGGTCAGTGTAGTATGTTTGGAAATATTGATCAGTTTTGCATATCCATAGTACACTAGATAACGTTATCTGAAGTAGTTTAAGAAGGGAAAAGGTTCGCTTCTAAGGAAAAATAATAGGAAATTCCAGATTATTTGGCCTATATTATGATCATCTTGAACTTAATGCCTTTAGTGTGTAATTTAGCCACAAATGTTGGATCTGTGTTGGTTCCTTCTGTGATAAAGTACTTTTGACCTTTTACATATTTATTCTGTTGTCCTTGGAACTTTTTTGTCCTGTGTTCTGGGACAGAATATCTCTCCATTTTCATAAGTGAAACTGGAGTACGAGGTACATAATTTGCTCATGGGTAAGTTTGGTCTGGTGGCCAGGGCTAAATAAATGGAAAAACTCTTTAAAGTACAGGAGGAGAAAAAAAATAAAGTACAAGAGGGAGTTCCCTGGTGGCCTGATGGTTAGGATTCTGGGCTTTCATTGCCTTGACCTGGGCTTAGTCCCTGGTTAGGGAACTGAGATTCTGCAAGCTACTTGGCCTGGCCAGAAAAAGGAATGGAGTACAGGAGCAGTTACAAGTTTCTCTGCCCTACCGCTGAGTCTCCTACTAGTAAGAGCATGACACAGGACAGGAGAAGGCAATGAAAATGGTACAGTGAGTCAGATGACATTTGGTCCAAAGCTTGTTTCCTCCAAGTCCCCCTGCCTGATTTTATTATGAAAAATTTCAGATACACAGTAAATTGAAAGACTTTTACAGTGAATATCATAGCATCTAAATTCTGTCATGAACACTTTAACACTTTATGACTTTATCATATATGTCTCTGCCTCTTCTTCCATCCATCAGTCCACCTGTTGTTTTAAAAATGCATTTCAGAGTAAATAAAAGAGTTGTTTGTTTTTCCCCCATTGATGATCATGACTGTATATTTCCTATGGGAAAGTTTCTTTCAGAATCTGAAAGGAAACTTATGACCCTCCTGATATAATTGGGACCTGGGAATAATAAGAAAAGTAAGGTGTGGTCCGGTTACAATTTGGAGGGAACCAGAAGTAAGAAAAAGTATGTAATTGTTATTCTTAAAAGTATAGAAATCTGAAGTTTTTATTAATTTTTTTTAAGGTGCTAGTTAAGCAATTGGATAATATCTTGGCTGCTGTACATGATGTGCTTAATGAGAGGTAAGTAGTTTAAGAGAAATTTAAAAAGTAGACAGGAAGATAAACTTACTGACTTCATTTATAACATACTTAATGTTTCACTAGGTTCTCTTGCCATCTTGTGTTAAAGTATTTAAACCTTAATTACCACTGAAATAGAATCCAGGTGGGTTATAGTCTGTGGGGGTGCAGAGAGTCAGACTGGACTTAGCAAATGAGCCTGCGCACGCGTGCACGCGCACATGCGCGCACACACACACACACACGGAACCCACTTGAAAGGGAGAGCCTTTTTTTTTTTTTTAATTTGTCAACATGACTAAATAATTGAGCACTGACTTGTAGAATGACATAAACTCTGAATGGAAGCGGGAATGAATCCAATTAACTTCTGTAAACTAGAACATTTTGAAACTGCTTAGAAGAGGTGAAAGGGCGTGTCCTTTGGGCAACAGTGGATTCAAGCCATCTAGTCTCCAGGGCTGCTGGGGTTCCCCAGAGGTCTGCAGTCATTTCTTCATATGGTGATTCCCAAAGAATTGCAGTGTTGGAAAGCATCAAAAACTCATCTCAGTGGGTCATGAATCTTACTGCTTTTTGATGGTTTTATTTTGTAATACTTAAATCAGTGTTAATCTTCTAAGTTTATTATATTTAACTATTACTGTTCCCTATTTTATAGTCCTCAGATACTAACTATTACAAGGTATATAATTATTTGTATAGTAATTTTATCTGATCCCTGGGTTGGGAAGATCCCCTGGAGAAGGAAATGGCAACCCACTCCAGTATTCTTTCCTAGAAGATCCCATGGATGGAGGAGCCTGGCAAGCTACAGTCCACAGGGTTGCAAAGAGTTGGACATGACTGAGTGACTTCACTTTGTCTGATCACTTTTGCTGCCTTTTTTCTATGAATCAGTTAGTATAGTTTGAGATGAAATTCGAAGTCTGAATTTTAGTATATTTAAACCTTTCTTTACTATTTGTAAATAATCGATTCTAAAATAAAAGAATTTGGGCACTACAGGAGAGAGAAGATAGAATACTTAGAATGGATAAAACTTAAACCTTTTGTGTAGTCTGAATAAAAATTAAATCATTTAAGACATTCTGTTGTGAGATATGTTATTCTTGTCATCTGTGAAAGCTTAAGCCTCTTGTGTATTTGTTTGTTTTGTTTTGTTTGCATTAAAATAAACACAGTAGCAAATTGCTTCAGGAGTTGAGACAGGAGGGAGCTTGTTGTCTTGGCCTTCTTTGTGCATCTCTGAGCTATGAGGCTGAGAAGATCTTCAAATGGATTTTTAGCAAATTTAGCTCATCTGCAAAAGATGAAGTTAAACTCCTCTACTTATGTGCCACCTACAAAGCACTAGAGACTGTAGGAGAAAAGAAAGCCTTTTCATCTGTAATGCAGGTAAGAATATGGAGGATGGGGGAGTGATGATGTGCTTGGTAAGAACGTTGTCTTTAACACGTCTTTGGTGGAGTGCTTGAAGAAAGGAATCTTAGGGTAGGGGTTATCTACTGATGGTACATGTAATGTAAATAAAATTCCTCTTTCTGAATTTGAGTAAAGAATATAAAGAATACACTTTATAGGTATACACATATAGGTAGATTTAAAATAAGTTACTTAAAATTTTATGTCTTCACTCTTCAGAAACTTTCTTTTGAATTTGCCTAGTACCAGAATCATTTACAGATTTGGACATTGGAGCTGCATGAGGAAAGCCAGGTCAAAGGGGGCTTCACATTTTTTGAGGGAGATAAAAATTAAACATCACAACTTACTTTGGGTTTTTATTTAGGTTTGATAATGTTAAATTATTATTCCAAGTTATATAAAATAATTGCATATCTGAATTATTAAAAGATGATTCCCAATTTAATTTTGAGCCAAGTTATAAGTAATTAAATTTTTGTTGTTTAGAAATTTAGAATTTGATGGTTTTGGAATATTTGATATCTTTATTTTTACTTTTCCTAAAAAGTTGATTTTATGTTTTATTTTGGCCAATTAGTAAAAAAAAAAAAAAAGTGAGAAATCTATTCTGTCTTAAAATTTTTATTTTCCCTTCATTGTAGAGGTTATGAAAAGAATTTGGGGAAAGATTTAGAAAATTATTTGTAACTAAACAGCATAACACCAAATTTGACTTATTCTGCGTGCAGTTTATATTGTGGATGTTCCCCCAGTTATTTATTTTGAAAAATTTTAAATCCACAGGAAAACAGATTGGCTAGTACAGTAAACACCCATATATCTTTTACCTAGAATTGTCACTTATTAATATTTTGCTCCAGTTTTGTTTTTACACACATGCACACACAGACATGATTTTTTATTGAACCTTTGAAAGTAAATTACATCATGATGGTTTACCCTGTGATACTTGAGCGTACATATACATCTCCAGAGATTAAAGCTAATCTATAAAACAATATTATAATCATACCTAAGAAAATTAGTTCTGTCACATAATAAAATCCATGTTCAAATCGCACTGTTGCCACTGAGATGTCTTTTATTTTTTATTTTTATTTATTTATTTATTTATTTTTTCATTTATTTTTATTAGTTGGAGGCTAATTACTTTACATCATTGCAGTGGTTTTTGTCATACATTGAAATGAATTAGCCATGGATTTACATGTATTCCCCATCCCGGTCCCCCCTCCCACCTCCCTCTCCACCCGATCCCTCTGGGTCTTCCCAGTGCACCAGGCCCGAGCACTTGTCTCATGCACCCAACCTGGGCTGGTGATCTGTTTCACCCTAGATAATATACGTGTTTCGATGCTATTCTCTTGAAACATCCCACCCTCGCCTTCTCCCAGAGTCCACAAGTCTGTTCTATACATCTGAGTCTCTTTTTCTGTTTTGCATGTAGTGTTATCGTTACCATCTTTCTAAATTCCATATATATGTGTTAGTATACTGTAATGGTCTTTATCTTTCTGGCTTACTTCGCTCTGTATAATGGGCTCCAGTTTCAGCCATCTCATTAGAACTGATTCAAATGAATTCTTTTTAATGGCTGAATAATATTCCATGGTGTATATGTACCACAGCTTCCTCATCCATTCGTCTGCTGATGGGCATCTAGGTTGCTTCCATGTCCTGGCTATTATAAACAGTGCTGCGATGAACATTGGGGTGCACGTGTCTCTTTCAGATCTGGTTTCCTCGGTGTGTATGCCCAGAAGTGGGATTGCTGGGTCGTATGGCAGTTCTATTTCCAGCTTTTTAAGAAATCTCCACACTGTTTTCCATAGTGGCTGTACTAATTTGCATTCCCACCAACAGTGTAAGAGGGTTCCCTTTTCTCCACACCCTCTCCAGCATTTATTGCTTGTAGACTTTTGGATAGCAGCCATACTGACTGGTGTGGCTTTTATAGCTTTTGTCTTACTCCGGATTCCATCAAGATTCATGTATTTGGCGAATCTTTAATCTCTTGAAGATGATATTGTGCCTCTAATCTTTCTTAAGTGTAACAATTTGCTGCACTTTTTTTGTCCCCCTTCTTTTGTAGAATGTTCTATGTCTTGGGCTTGTCTGAGTATTCCTTCCTGGTTAGATTCAGTGCAAACAGTTTGGTCATGAATACTTCATGGGTTCATACTTAGCTTTGTGTTATGCTACCAGGTACATAACTTCAGGTTCACATACCTCTTAGGTGAAGAGTTTCATTGCTTAGTTAAGGTGAAGACCAATCAGATTTTTCCATTGTGAAGGCTTCTTTTTCTCCCTTTGTAATTAATCAGTAATCTGTACATAATGCCATGAGACCTTCTGAATATTCTGTTTTTCATAATATTTCACTCAATTTTAGCATTCATTCATATGCTGTACATTGTGTAGATTATAGTACCAGCTGTTGCAAAATGGTGGTTTTCTCATTCTAGCACTTTTTCTATATTTATAACATCATTCTTTTGTAGAGAAGAACCTTCGTTTGGGGGAAAAGTGGGTTTTAACAAAAAATTCAGCTGCAAAATATTCTATAAGTAGCATGCCATATGGTTATTTTATATATATATATATATATACACACACACACACACACATGTACAGTGGTAACATGATATGTCATTCTTGGGTTAGAGCCGTGCTAATCTTCTCTAAGTCATTCCAGTTTGAAGCAAGTGTTTATATCTTAAAGTATAAACTGTACAACATTTGATCTGTCTTTTGAATTTTAAAATCATACATTGTAGTTTTTGTTCTTGAAATTTTAATCACACCCATAATATTGAAGAGAGCACTTAGGAACAGAGTAAACACATTACTTAGAAATATGTTAACAGACATTAAAGAAGGGAAAAACAGTATTTGTTTTCAGCCTTTAATATCTTAGTGGATTGAAATGTTTTCAAATTTTTTGGAAACTAAAACTACAGAGTTTATTTTCTCTGATGTCATAGTCAATTTTGGCTATGTCACTATTAAATAATAAACCTAATTTGCTTGTTTTCTCCCTATTGTATTAAATGTTCATGGTTTGTAACTTATTTTTCAGCTTGTAATGACCAGCCTGCAGTCCATTCTTGAAAATGTGGATACACCAGAATTACTTTGCAAGTGTGTTAAGTGCATTCTTTTGGTAGCTCGATGTTACCCTCATATTTTCAGCACCAATTTTAGGGTGAGTTCCCTGACCCCTTCTTTTCAGATGATGGGGTGAGGGATTGGCTGTGTGTGTGAGGACTTGAGAAATTAGATAGAAAACAAAGTTTCTGCTCCTTTGAGTATAATCAGTTTTAAGGGCCAGGATTGAATGATATAGTAATGCAATTTTATAAAAAATACCATTTGTACTTGCCAACACTTGTGCCTTAAGATACTTAAATATTTCGTCAATGTCATGAAGAAAGGCCCATTATTCTCCTGCCCTGTCCCTCCCACCCCTATTTTAAGTTAGTATGATGTCAGGTAGGTAGGACATAAGATGTTCTAGAATCTCTTACTCTTATGTGGTCTACAGGTGAAATGGCAATAAGACCTTAAAATGATTCGTCCCCTTTTCTTTGTCTCCATCCAGGATACAGTTGATATATTAGTTGGATGGCATATAGATCATACTCAGAAACCTTCACTTACACAACAGGTGTCTGGTGAGTCATTCAGGATATATCGAGTCACTTAAATGTTGTGGGAAGGAGGGTTGGTTCCTCAAAGACCAGCTGTTAATACTAGTTTTTTGATAATAGAAGAAAAATAATTACTTCAGAGAATATTTTGGTGAAGATTACTTGTTAGCTACCTATATTTTTTCAAAGGAAAAATGTGTACTTTTGTAATAAGTAGGGAGAGTAAATGCAGATTGTAGTGTTGTACCTATGGCTTGTCTCAAGTCATTTGTTGCATGTGTTGGTTGGAAGGGATGCCGTAGTGGCAGTATTCTGAAGGGTAGAATGGAAGGAACATCCTGGATATTTATGATTTTTTTTTGTTTTTCTAGTGATTAAACATTCAAACAAATGGATTCATTTGGATGATTGTCATAAATTGTGGGGAAAAGCCACTTTCTTTTTCAAGTTAAATGAATGACTTAAATGAATGACTAGTAGGACTCACTTGAACTTGTCCCAGGTGCTGTAGTTTTTCATAGCTTGTTTGGTACAATAAAGTTCTGAAGTTAAGATACAAAGGTGAGAATAGTTCTCTCAGTTCCAGTGGCAAGTGGTTCCATTTCTCCCCTGGAGATGAAGGTACACTTTCAGTGGCCAGGTGTGGCCCTGGAGAAAACCAGTGAGGTCTTAGATTGGGACAGTATAGTCTCAGCCATGTGTGTAGTGACAGTATGGATATTAAATCTACTTTTTTTTTAAAAAAAGGACAGATTAGATTTTAATTTCTGTAGAATTTTTATTTCTGTAGCATTAAAAGAGGTAGCTGTTAATCATTAGTGTATTTAATAGTTCATGGGGATTTTCTGGTGGTCCAGTGACTAGAACTCTGCACTTCCATGGGGCAAAGGGGGATGGGAGAGTGGTTTGATCCTTGATGTGGGAGCTAAGACCCCACAAGCCTTGCGGCACAGTGAAAAACAAACAAAAAACAGTTTATAGTACTAATTTTATGATACAGAGCTTGTTTCAAGAGTGAGCAACTTGAAAGCTTTTTAAAAGTCTCTTATTAAATATTTTTTAATTTGGACCTAGATTTTTTTTCCTACTCTTTCAAAATTTCTTATGTGCTTCCTAGGGTGGTTGCAGAGTTTGGAACCATTCTGGGTAGCTGACCTTGCATTTTCTACCACTCTTCTTGGTCAGTTTCTGGAGGACATGGAGGCATATGCTGAGGTGAGTATATAAAAACAGTTATTTCCTAAAATTTCAGTTAAGAAAAAAAGCAAAAACAAAAATCTAAAGCAGTGCTAGATTTATTTTAAAATAATTCTGATCACCAGACATTTAAGCAAAAATTATGAGACCAGTGCAGTTTTTAAATTGTTTTTCAGATGCTTTTAGGTTGCCAGCAGAATTACTGGAAGGACATTGCAGGCCTAATTTCCCAAAGCTTGAAATAATTTTGGTGGCTGGTAGTTTTCCAAAAACATTTTCTTCAGTTATAGTTTACTCTTAGTTTTTATTACAAAAAAGATTAATTGATATTGTGAATTGATGATGAAAAAGGCTTTCCTCTTACTTGTATCGGCAATCTTGGCTTGTGCTTCAGAGGACAAAGCTTGGTTTCAGTCACCTGTTGAGCATGACACTTTTAAATCAAGTGTCCATTACTGGTTCTCGGATTTCCTGACTACTGTCACGATTTAAACCTGCCGTCTTTGAATCTATCTTTTAGTGTTTCTTTCTTGCTCAGTTAGTCATTACCATGGTTCTTATTTGGTGGTCAAGGCTTCCATAAAGATTTAGCTTCATCTTTTCTTTATACCTTTGCTCTTTCTGGCAAATGGTTAACTCACTACTTGTAACTGTACCAATATGTTTTCTCCCTTTCAGAGAAAAATGAGAGAATATGTTGCTTCCATATGTTTCTTTACCCCCACACCTAGGATGTCTTGCTTCCTAGCACAGCTTTAAAGCTGATCTGCTTCTCATAAGCCATGCATTCTTTTTTGTAGAGACTTCCCTTTGCTATCCCTAGAGATCTAGTTTTCTTCAATTATTTTGGTGCTTAATTATATGTAGGTATAATGGTTCTAATACTCCATTTTTTGCTAATCTTTTCCTTTGAGTATATCTAATTTCCTCAACTGACTTTTAAATCTGTAGACTAGGTTCTTATAGTTTTTTGAACCAGCCTCCTCTAAACTCCCCCATCCCCCTTCCTCTTCATGTGCATGATATTGGCTTATCTTACTGTTGAGTTCCTCAAAGAATCTATTGAGGTTACTGTTTGCTTTTTAAATAATTGGAGAAGTAAAGTCTACTTTTATATTTAGATTCATGTTTCCTTTTCTCTCATAGGCCAAAATTCCTCTTCATTTGTAAAGGTCTATTATAAAGTTAACTGATTTAAAAATTGGGAGTTGCTTTTTGTTTTTTGTTTAAGTTTTTTTTTTTTTCATTTATTTTTATTAGTTGGAGGCTAATTACTTTACATCATTGCAGTGGGTTTTGTCATACATTGAAATGAATTAGCCATGGTTTTTTGTTTGTTTTTTAAAACAATGTCCTTCCTAAATAAGAATGATGTGAATTCACATCCAGGACCTCAGCCACGTAGCCTCTGGAGAGTCCGTGGATGAAGACGTTCCTCCTCCATCAGTGTCCTTACCAAAGCTGGCAGCACTTCTCCGGGTATTCAGTACTGTGGTGAGGAGCATTGGGGAACGTTTCAGCCCAATTCGAGGTCCTCCAATTACTGAGGCATATGTAACAGATGTAAGTTTTAGTAGTCTTAAGTATCATTCAGTAATAATCGCTTTTTGTTTTAAATGGTTCTCTTTACCTAGTGAAATATGTTATTAACCTCTCATTTGTTTAGCATGTGTGTATGTGTCTGACTACTTTCTTAAATAGCCAGAAAGATAGGGAATTCTATATTCCATTCCCCCTCACCCCATGATAAAAGGTCCACTCTGTATTTTTAAATGTCTGAAGTTTTAGGAGATTCTCTGTAGGTCCATTTATTCTTAATATATAACTTTAAAAACTTATTCTGTCGTTTTTTAATAATTTTAAGTTTTGCTTTAAAATTATTGTGTCTCCTTTTAGTTTTTCAACATACTAAGAAGTTTTTCAACATACTTCTCACTTACAAATAAGGCTTAAAAAAGTAATTTTCTCTAAGCATGACAGAATGAAACAATTTGATAGCTTGACATCAAAGGATATAAAGACAGAATCTAGAATATGTAATAGCCTGAGATCAATTATAAAAGGTAGCTAGATTGCCATATTTCAGCCCCAGACATCAGTTACACTGTGTTATAGTCCAGTGAGTGGTTCAGTGTAATGGATGTGAGAAGTGAACCCCTATCATTATCTTCTGCTTGAACAAGAAGGGAGAAACTTGTGTGATAAAGTCATAAAAAATCTAACCTAAATGATTAAAACTTTACTGTCGGCATAAAATTTTAGCTTTTATTAGCATTTACTTTTGTTGAACACATTGCTAGATAAAGTAGGGTATTAATTACATATATAATTCTTAGTAAGTTAATTGTGTATTTGAGCAGACATGTCAGCTCCTGAAGATAATTACAAGCAGCATGTTAATATTTTAAAACTGAGCAAAGTAGTTTATTTTTTTTTTTACTGTCCAGAAGGAGGGTGGTTGATGACTTTGTCAGTGTTGAAATAAAAGCAGTTAACTCAGATATAAAACAAAGGAGGAGCACATATCATTTTCCAGACTAGTTTTATATTAATGTACTCTTTAATGAAAGTCTTTTAGGTCTTTGCCAAAAATGGTGTTTTAGGCCTTTTTAAACCTATTGTTGGTTTAAAAAACAAACAAACAAAAAAACCTGTATGTAGTAGTTGTTGAATATTACAGTAAAATTTGAGAAATATTTTTCCATATCAATTTTCTCTTTATCTGTTTTTTCCTGTTACTTTTATTAGAAATTTAGTACATTAATACTGACTACTATAGTTTAGTAGAGTTTTTGTTTGGAAATGATATGATTTTCATAATACTTAGATAGGTATTTTATGTTATAAATGAGAATATCTTTACAAAGAGACCGTCAGTATATGAACTTTCGTAAGCTAAACTATCTTAGATATTTAGTTTTATAAGATTGATTCAAAGTCCAAGTGCTAGATTATGGAAAGTTATTCTCCTGGTAGGTTATTCCCATATTGTTAATATTGAGCTAAATTCTGGTGTGTTTTATGATTATTAAAAAGATTCTGAACTTCAGCTATTTAGTGACTTTGGTTGGGGGGTAGGAATTGGGTATAAGGGAAATAGAGGATGGCAAATTCCACTTCTGTCACAGTAGAAGTTTAGATACTTAGGCAAGATCCTTTCTGTGTATTGTACCAGAGATACCCTTATTATTATTCAGCCATTGAGAACTGGAATATTTAGACTGCTGACAAGGCAGGCAGTTAATTTTCCATTGAAACTGCATTAGAAAAATATTTTCTTGCTCTGTGGAAGAATATGAATTTTTTTAAAAAGCTGCTTGTTTTCCCCATTTGCAGGTTCTGTACAGAGTAATGCGATGTGTGACGGCTGCAAACCAAGTGTTTTTTTCTGAGGCTGTGTTGACAGCTGCTAATGAGTGTGTTGGTGTTTTGCTCGGCAGCTTGGATCCTAGCATGACTATACATTGTGACATGGTTATTACATATGGATTAGATCAACTGGAGAATTGCCAGACTTGTGGTACAGATTATATCATCTCAGTCTTGAATTTACTCACATTGGTATGTGAATTCTTTTTTGTTTCTTTTTAATATGTTTATTCAGGTTGTTAAGTGTAAATTGATGTGGAAGAAATTAAGCCCTTGTTTGCCTGTGGGGCTTTTTAAAATGTTTTTTGCATTAGTCTTTTAAAATCTAGTTTGCTTTTGCTCTTGTATCTGTTTACTTTTAGTGTTTGAGATTTTTTCTTAGTGTAGCTTCACTTTTTTCTTGTTTTTGTTGACATAGCATTCTTCACATGAGACTTATCTAGCACTCCTGATAAATTTTGTGTAGGGGAGGTACTTGATACTTAATTTGAAAGACCCTGTTATGTTTTATTTCTGAAACATGTAAAAGCTTCTTTGATAGTTTTTCTTTTCTTAATCCTAAGTATTCCCCTTCTTCACCTTTTATTATGGAATTTTGAAGCATATTTAAAAAAAATAGTATAATGAATCTCTGCATATTTAATACTTGGTTTCTGTAATTAGAAACACATGGCCCATCTGGTTTCATCTAGGCCTCCTACTCTGCCTCCTCCTTGCCATCCCTCCATCCCCAGCTGGATTATTTCAGAACAAATTCTAGATGACATTCTGCTGAACATGGCTGCCATAGTTGTACTTCCCTTTTCCAATGTAAAAATTTACCCTTAAGTGTAATTACATGTATCCTATTTAGATAGCTAAAATTTAATGTCACAATGTTAAGGCCTAAAAATATAGCTTAGATATATTAGTTTTTTCTTTTATAGATTACTTTTCAGAGCAGTTTTTAGGTTAACAGAAAAGTTAAGCAGAATGTACAGAGTTCTCCTACAGCCTATTTCCCCAATAGTTCCCTCTTGTTATTATTAATACCTTCTTTTAGTGTGGTACTTTTATTACAACTGATGAGCCAGACTGACACATTATGATGAACTGAAGTCCATAGAGTTCAGTCTCCATATTGTCCATTCTGTGGTTTTTGACAAACGTGTAATGCCATGTGTTCACCTTTGTAGTATCACATAGGAGGGTTTTATTGCCCTGAAAATCCTTCTTGTTCCACCTATTTTCTCTCCTCTACTACCTGGCAACCACTGATCCTTTTACTGTCTCCATAGTTTTGCCTTTTCCAGAGTGTCAGAATTATATAATATGTAGCCTTTTCATATTGGTTTTTCTCCCTTATGAGTATGTATTTAAGGTTCCTCTACCTTCTTTTGTGAATTGATAGCTCATTTCTTACTTTATTCTTTTAGATTGTTGAACAGATAAATACAAAACTGCCATCATCATTTGTAGAAAAGCTATTTATACCATCATCTAAACTACTATTTTTGCGTTATCATAAAGAAAAAGAGGTAAGTGATTCACTGATCAGGCGTTTGATGACTTAGGTCATTGAAAAGTTTGACTCATGTTCATTACTTAGTAGGTACATAAATGAAATTAAAATGATAAATATTTGATTTAGAATATTAGAAATTATAATGATTCGCTTAATATTTGTTGATTTTCATACTGTATACCTTGATGAATGATAGTTTACTCAGATTTCCATCATTTGTTTCTATTAAATTTGTTTTATTAAAATTTCATGTATATGTCATATATAAAACTTTATTGTTAGCTTCCTAACTTGACTCCCAGTCAAAGCCAATATAGACTTTCCAAGTAGATGTAGGAAAACCTGTCTCTATAAATTGCTGCTTGTATTTGTTCTGATACTGGCTTAAAAAACAGAAGGCCTTTTAAGAAATTTAACATTGTCATTTTTAGAGAATACTTTTTTGATAATAAAACTGTATAGATTTTTGAATAGCTTACTGATACTGTGTAGGTTTCCTAAATTTATTTTTGAAAAATTAAAGTCTTTGGTGGTGTTTTAGACAGTGAATTTATCAATTTTAAACTGATTTGTATCATCATTTTGCAGATAGTAATATACTTTCCATTTAATTATTACTTTCCTAAATTCTCTTTTTAAGGTTGTTGCTGTAGCCCATGCTGTTTATCAAGCAGTGCTCAGTCTGAAGAATATTCCTGTTTTAGAGACTGCCTATAAATTAATTTTGGGAGAAATGACTTGTGCCCTAAACAATCTGCTACATAGTCTACAACTTCCTGATGCCTGTTCTGAAATAAAACATGAGGCTTTTAAGAATCATGTTTTCAATGTAGACAATGCAAAATTTGTAGTTATATTTGACCTTAGTGCTCTGACTACAATTGGAAATGCTAAAAACTCACTGATAGGGGTGAGTATTTACTTGTAATGGCTTTGTTTTGTCCACCTTTGAGCCTCTCCTCATTGCATGATAACATATTTCATTAACTATCAAGGCGGTGTGTATACAGCATCACACAGAACAAATGGCCATATTTTGGACATGCTTGGATAACTAAAATTGATGGGAATATTTTTGTGTTATTATGTTTAGCTCTTGCCTTCTTTGATAAGTTTTTTATATCCTTTTTATTTTTTGAAATTGTGTTTTAATGCTGTCTCCCATTTACCCTAGCATGCTTTTAGTAAACTTGTCAACATTTTCCACAGGACAAGTTTGTGTAGTTCTAAAATGCAACCCCTTCTTCCCCTGATACTCTTTTCCTTTTCCCACTAGTTAGTGCTTCCATATGTCCCTTATTTTTTGACTACCCACTTTTCTTTGGGAACATTCACATATTATTTTGGAAGAAGAAAGATTTCATTCCTTTTAAGAAATCTGAAGTGACTGCTTTTGATTTAAAATAATTGCTGTGTGTGAGTGAAGTGAAAGTCGCTCAGTGGTGTCTGACTCTTTGCAACCCCATGGACTATACAGTCCATAGAATTCTCCAGGCCAGAATACTGGGGTGGGTAGCCTTTCCCTTCTCCAGGGGATCTTCCCAACCCAGGGATCGAACCCAGGTCTCACGCATTGCAGGCGGATTCTTTACCAGCTGAGCCACAAGGGAAGACCAAGAATACTGGAGTGGGTAGCCTAGCCCTTCTCCAGCGGATATTCCCGACCCAGGAATCGAACCGGGTCTCCTGCATTGCAGGTGGATTCTTTACCAACTGAGCTATCAGGGTATATTTCTCCCTCCTATGGTACTTTGCAGAATTGAAAAGCATTATTTACAATGAAAAGTAATGGAATATAATTAAGGGGTTAGTGTTTCTAAGAGAGAAGGGAGGGAAAACTCAAGAGTTGATATTTGTATCTGCATGCTGGCCATATTAGATCAGGTGCCCTGTGTCCCCCAAGTGACTGCTCTTTCCTCATTGCTGGGCTGCAGCTGACTCCTCTTTCGCATTCTGAAATTTGATTGTTAGAAATTCACATTGTGTTCAGATTTGAGGTTTATGTTCTACACTCTGAAAGTGAGAGGAAGTAGGGACAGGGTGGTCAGGTGAAAGGAGTATCTTAGCAATGGAAAGAAAGGGAAGAATGGTAAAGGCTTAGAGTGGCAGGATTTGCCCTTTTTTTCCACTGGAGAGGGCAACTCGCCATTTATGGTATATGGAAAACTGAGGTAATACGATCTACTACACTGAAGAGTGCAGGGGCTTTTGTTTAGACCAGGGATCAGCAAATTACAGTTCATGGACCAAATCTAGCTGTCCACTGCTTTTTTTTTTTCTTTCTTTTTTTTTCTTTTAATTATGGAGATATAATTCACATACTGTACAGTACCCATTTAAAGTGTACAATTCAGTGATTTTTAGTATGTTCACAGAATTGTGCAGCCATCACCAAACATCACCTCTTTTTGTAAAGACTTTTTATTGGAGCATAGCCACTTTGATTCCTATTTTTTGTCTGTAACTTTTCTCACTGCAGTGGCAAAGTTGAGGAGTTGGACATTGTAACAGAGGTGTCACATAACCTGCAGAGGCTGAGGTATTTACTCTCTTATCTTCTCAAGAAGTATTTGCTGATCCCAGGTTTAGTGTACTAGCTTGTTTCCAAATTTAAATCTGTCATTTTAATTTTTAAAAATGTGCAGATATATTTTGAAGGATAAGCATTTTGTATGGTCATGTGTGTCTTGGAGGAGCCAAACATTTAAATTTCTTTGGTACGTCATCAGATGTGGGCCCTGTCTCCAACTGTGTTTGCTCTCCTGAGTAAGAATCTGCTGGTTGTGCACGGCGAGCTGGCTGTCCATTTCCCTGCCATTCAGTACGCGGTGCTCTACACGCTGTACTCGCATTGTACCAGGTAAGGTGTCTGCACATGCTTCTTCAGAATTGTTTAAGGGAAGATGGACCCTTTAGAGTATACAATGTAACATGTGTTGATTGAACTTTGGAGTTGCTTTTTTTTTTAAATGAGAGATGACAAGATGATCCAAATTTTGTCTTCTAGGCATGACCACTTTATATCTAGTAGTCTTAGTTCATCATCCCCGTCCTTGTTTGATGGTGCCGTTATTAGTACTGTAACTACAGCTACAAAAAAACATTTCTCGATTATCTTAAATCTCCTGGGGATATTGCTTAAGAAAGATAATCTTAACCAGGACACAAGGTAACTAATATTTTATAATGTTGTTTCTAACTTTTAGTTAATTTGAGAAAAAGAAATGAAGACTATCATTTGGGATATAGAGCAGCTTCTTCTTTATGAAAACACTTCAAATTTTGTTTTATTATTTAGTCTAGAATTTCTTGTTTCCTGAAAGAATTACATGAAACCTTTCCCTCCTGCAATATTTTATAGATGAATGTTTTTATAGAGATTTCTTTGCTACGATTTATGCTAGTTTGGGGAGATTTTCTTAAAAGACAGTTTTGTCAGAGGAGTTTCTATACTTTTAATATTTGTTTCTTATTTCTTGAAGTATTTAAAAAACCAAAAGAAAATTAATGTAAAAAGAATAGATTTTTCAAGTTGTTTTTCTGTTTTTAGTTTTTATTAATGTGAAATCAACTGTGTATTTCATGTTTCAGGAAACTGTTAATGACCTGGGCTTTGGAAGTGGCTGTTTTAATGAAGAAGTCTGAAACATACGCACCTTTATTCTCTCTTCCATCTTTCCATAAATTTTGCAAAGGCCTTTTAGCCAACAGTAAGATTCTGTGATTATTTAATTTTTGTTAATCAGTGCTTAAAAGAGATCTTTGATAATGAGAGAAAGATAGTCACGAGTGCCTTTCATGAATGGAAATGTGTCATCCCCTTTTTAATGACAAAGGTGTAATCTGTCTTAATTTTTTTGCCAGTCTTAGTATGTGAAAAAAAAGTTGTTTTAAAGTGATTGTTAACATTTTTAAGCTTATGTGATTGTTTATACATTCTATGTACTTTTAAAATTTACTTCAGAGAAAGGTTTGGGTGAAGAGTAGTCACCCTAAGTAGATTCTTGTTGACTGTTAGCATTTTCCCAAATGTTACTACTGCTAGTGAGAGAGGGTTCCAGGCAGGAACAACCTCTCATCCATAGTAATCACTCACTGTTTATTGAAGTGAATGTGTTCAGAAATTTATGATGTACTGGCATATAATTTCTTCTGGCAAGCTGAAAGTGTCTTTAAATTTTTAACAGCTCTTGTTGAAGATGTGAATATCTGTCTGCAAGCATGCAGCAGTCTACATGCACTGTCCTCTTCCTTACCGGATGATCTTTTACAGAGGTATGGATTAAATTAGATCCACTCTTTTGACCCTGGCCCTAATAACTTATAAATATTGCCACAGTTGTATTATCTGTTTCATTTTCTTGTAGGTGTGTTGATGTTTGCCGTGTTCAACTAGTCCATAGTGGAACTCGTATTCGACAAGCATTTGGAAAGCTATTGAAGTCAATCCCTTTAGATGTTGTCTTGAGGTATAACAATTGTATCAATACAAAGACATCCCACAATGTTTAGTTTAGGAAAAGACAAATTGTCTCTTAGTGAATTAATATCCCATCTTTTGTGGTGCTTCTCAATGATTGAAGAGATGGCAAAGGATCAAATCATGCAGGTCTAGAAGAAAATAACAAAAATTTGTAATTTTTATAAAGCTTATGATGATTACTACAGAGTAATACTTAAAGTGCCAAAATGTGTTTCTCAGTAGTTATTATTTGTAAAACTAAATTGCATTCTATTACAGTTTTTAATTGGGTTAATTTTGGTGATTTAAGAGCTTTAAATTTCAAAGTTGTAGTAACCTTTATTTTTAATGTCTTAATTTTATCCATTTTTACTGTCAGATTTAGTTAACAAGGAAGCATTTCATTTACAGCACGAGGTATCCTTTTAACTAGAAGATTTTGTATAACAGTGACTTTATTTTCTGTCTGCAGCAATAATAATCACACAGAAATTCAAGAAATTTCTTTAGCATTAAGAAGTCACATGAGTAAAGCACCAAGTAACACATTCCACCCACAAGATTTCTCTGATGTTATTAGTTTTATTTTGTATGGAAACTCTCATAGAACAGGGTAAGACCTTTCTTTGACTCTTTCATCTAGGAAAAATAATTTAAATATATTTGAATGTCTTAACCCTGTGCCCACTTTAGAGGAGAAAATACATCAGGGGTAGCAGAATAGAAAGTAATATTCTTTTCAAATGAGTTGTTTTAAGTCTTTAATAGGAGGAATTGCTTTGAAGATGGCACCTGAAGAGAAAAATGAGCTTTACAATTTATGTAAAGGTGAAATGTGGTTGACATATAACTGATCTGACCTAGTCATCAGTGCCTTGGGGAGGGGCCTGAGGGTGTAGACGTTCTGGAGACTTTTACTTGCAGTGAATATTTTATCCTGATAGCCAAACTGTCATGAGCCTTTTACCCTAATAATCTGTCCACACTATACCGTACTCTGTTTCAGCTGTAAAAGACCTTAAAATGAGAGGTGGGGATGTAATGCCTCCCAGTTTCATAGGTTTGCCTTTTTGAAGTAGGGGAAAAGTGCCGTATTCTCATTTCCCTTGCAATTTGTTTTTTGTTATTGTCTTTTTTTTCTTCAAATGAAGTTGTTTTTAAATATGAAACTACTTTTTCCAGGAAGGACAATTGGTTAGAAAGATTGTTCTACAGCTGCCAGAGATTGGATAAACGTGACCAATCAACGATTCCCCGCAATCTTCTAAAGACAGATGCTGTCCTCTGGCAGTGGGCTATTTGGGAAGCAGCACAGTTCACTGTCCTTTCTAAGCTGAGGACCCCACTTGGCAGAGCTCAGGATACCTTCCAAACAATTGAAGGTAATTGACTCAGCACTGTTTCAGACTTTGCAGTGTAAATACTTTCAAGCTTGCGTTAAGAAATAATGGATTTTTTATCTTCATTAAAACAGAACTTTGAGAGTACACAGTTTTTTCCTTTAGTACTTTATCAGTTAATCTAGATATGTTTGTTAGAATAAGCTTTTATTAAATAATTGTGTCGTATGTGTTTGTTCACAAATTTGCCAGCAAATTTGAAAAACTCAGCAGTGGCCACAGGACTGGAAAAGGTCAGTTTTTATTCCAGTTCCAAAGAAAGGCAATGCCAGAGAATGCTCAAACTACTGCACAATTGCACTCATCTCACATGCTAGCAAAGTGATCCTCAAAATTCGGCAAGCCAGGCTTCAACAATATGTGAACCATGAAATTCCAGATGTTCAAACTGGATTTAGAAAAGGCAGAGGAACCAGAAATCAAATTGCCAGCATCCATTGGATCATTGAAAAAGCAAGAGAGTTCCAGAAAAACATCTACTTCTGCTTCATTGACTATGCCAAAGCCTTTGACTGTGGATCACAACAAACTGTGGAAAATTCTTCAAGAGATTGAAATACCAGACCACCTTACCTGCCTCCTGAGAAATCTGTATGCAGGTCAAGAAGCAACCATTAGAACTGGACATGGAACAACAGACTGGTTCCAAATAGGGAAAGCAGTACGTCAAAGCTGTATGTTGTCACCCTGCTTATTTAACTTATATGCAGAGTACATCATGAGAAATGCTGGACTGGATGAAGCACAAGCTGGAATCAAGATTGCCAGGAGAAATTATATCAATAACCTCAGATATGCAGATGACACCACCCTTATGGCAGAAAGTGAAGAACTAAAGAGCCTCTTGATGAAAGTGAAAGAGGAGAGTGAAAAATTGGCTTAAAGCTCAACATTCAGAAAACTAAGATCATGGCATCTGGTCCGATCACTTTGTGGCAAATAGATGGGGTAGCAGTGGAAACAGTGACAGAGTTTATTTTTTGGGCTCCAATATCACTGCAGATGGTGACTGCAGCCATGAAATTAAAACACGCTTGCTCCTTGGACAGCAAGGAGATCCAACCAGTCTATCCTAAAGGAAATCAGTCCTGAATATTCATTGGAAAGACTGATGCTGAAGCTGAAACTCCCAATACGCTGGCCACCTGATGCAAAGAACTGACTTATTTGAAAAGACCCTGATGCTGGGAAAGATTGAAGGCGGGAGGAGAAGGGGGTGACAGAGGATGAGATAGTTGGATGGCATCACTGCCTCAATGGATGTGAGTTTGAGTAAACTCCGAGTGTTGATTATTGACAGGGAGGCCTGGCGTGCTGCAGTCCATGGGTTCGCAGAGTTGGACACGACTGAGTGACTGAACTGAAATAATTGTGTCGTATGTGTTTGTTCACAAACTTAGGGAATTTGTGTGGAGAAGACATTTTTTTCTTCTAAAGATGAAGATCTTATTGGGAGTTTTGTTTTTAAGTGATGGATATGCAAAGGATACTTGATAAATGTGAATTTGTGAAATTATCTCCAAGAACTTCTAGAATCTTTGAAGACTCCATTTAAATGTGGAATGTTGTCTTTGGTTGCAGGTATCATTAGAAGTCTTGCAGCTCACACATTAAACCCCGATCAAGATGTTAGTCAGTGGACAACTGCAGACAATGACGAAGGCCACAGTAGCAACCAGCTTAGACTTGTGCTTCTTCTGCAGTATCTGGAAAACCTGGAGAAGTTAATGTATAATGCATATGAAGGATGCGCCAATGCATTAACATCGCCTCCCAAGGTTGGTTTCCGTGGACTGGATGTTGATTCACAGCAGTTTTGTGGTCAAACCTGGCAGTGTGTGCAGAGCTGAAATCACAGTAGACTTGTATATATGCTTTATGTATATTTCAGATGTTTCTGCCTGTAATTTGAACCAGTCCTGAGCTCTTCTTTCTCTTCTAAAGGTCATTAGGACTTTTTTCTATACCAATCGCCAAACTTGTCAAGACTGGCTGACTCGGATCCGACTCTCCATCATGAGGGTTGGATTGTTGGCAGGCCAGCCTGCTGTGACAGTGAGACATGGCTTTGATTTGCTTACAGAAATGAAGACAAATCCATCTCAGGTAAAGTGGTGTGTCTGGAGTTAGTTAAATCTGTTAATTAGAAAAACTTGGGGTTAATTCCTTTGCTGTGATCTAATCTCTGGATAGGGACTTCCCAGGTGGTACTGGTGGTAAAGAATCTGCCTGCTAGTGCAGGAGATGTAAGAGACTGGGGTTCGATCCCTGGGTCGGGAAGATCCCCTGGAGTAGGAAATGGCAACCCACTCCAGTATTCTTGCCTGGGAAATCCCATGGACAGAGGAGTCTGGTGGGCTCCAATCCATGGGGCTGCAAATAGTCAGATGCAACTGAGCACACAGTCTGGATAAAGTAAATTAAAGGTTCTGTTAGTTTTTAAAGCTTTTCATCCAATATTTTTATACAAGCAGTAACTTCCAAAGTTGCCTATTTATATTTTTTACTTAGAACATGTGAAAATATTCATTACTTATGCTTAAAGGTTGAAACTTTAAAAGTTACTCCAAGAAATTCATGTATATAAGCAAATGTTTATAATCACTTGTAATTATATAGTGTATGGGAAAGTATAATTATAATATATGTGAAAATATAATATTGATAACATTATAATGTATGGGAAAGTGCTGGCTTATAGGTGGGGTTACTAAATAAGTAGAATCCAAAAACTGTAAATGTTTACTAGTTAATATGCAATATGCAAAGACATAAAATTAGGCATTCTTTGATTCATGGTTATTCAGTTTTTTGCTTTGTATTTACTTCATGTGTTACTCCTAAAGATGCCACAGCTGAAATGGTAAAGTTTTTTTTATTTTGTAAAGATTAACAGTTAAGTGCTATTTATTATAGTCCATCAGTGCCCCCTCACCCTCATATCTACAGTATACATAACATTTTAGGAAATTCTAGTAATGTAATTTCATCTTTGTAAAAGTAATTGTTAAATAAATTTGACTTTAAACAGGCTTTAGATTTGATCAGTAGTTGTAAATTTAGTAGAGATTTGAATCTTGAAGGCATTGAGGTCTTTGATTGATATTTTTCTGAATGGCCACTTTCAGGGAAATGAATTGGAAGTAACTATCATGATGGTGGTAGAAGCATTGTGTGAACTTCATTGTCCTGAAGCTATACAGGGAATTGCTGTCTGGTCATCTTCGGTTGTTGGAAAAAATCTTCTCTGGATTAATTCAGTGGCCCAACAGGCTGAAGGGAGGTAAGTTAGAAGGAAGGAAATCGGTGATAGTTCTTTATGTTGTTTTTTTGTGTTACTGGCTGACTCTGTAATTAAATGTTAATTACTTTTAATGTTGATTCTTAATTGATAACTTTTCATGTCAGAATCTGATACAAATTCCCCTTTATGGCCAGAGTTCTCACTCATTAGCTCTAAACTTACTTGATTCCTTTAGACAAACTCTTTGCATGCCTTGGATTCCTCTATATATGTTTAAGTGAGTTTTATAAAATATGGAAAATGTAGGGAAAATAAAAGAAGGGTTCATAATTCCATCTCTTAGTGGTAACTATTTGGTTGTATATTCCTTTCTAGCTCTTTTTCTTTTATATCTAGTTTTCTTACCTCTTTTCACAGAAATGGCAATGTTTCTGCTGGTCACATGATTTTGCTTTTTCTACTCAACAGTATTTAAAAAAAAATATTTTGCCCTGTTAAACTTATCTACAATGTGATTTTTAACAACACATTTTATTTTTTGAGTGCACCATAATTTAACATTCCTTATTGTTGGACAGCAAAATCATTTGTGATTTTTTTTTTTTAACTAATGTTAATGCACCACAGCACTTAATTCTTTGCTCATGTTTGTGATGGTTTTCTTTGGATGCTGGTTGATTTACTATTAATAGAAGAAAGGCTACAGACCATCAGGCTTATGATACATACTATTGCTAATTTACCCTGCGTAAAAGGTGGTTCCAACTTGTATCCCTAACAATAAAAATAATCCTTGCCCTGTCCTTCGCGAATAGAGGGCCACTGAGGAACAAGAACTCTCCCATCATATTAGCGAAAATGCTTGTTTTAATTTAAATTTCTTTATTAATAATTACCAGTAGAGCTTTCCCCATATGTTACTAACCATATGTGAGTCTTAAAAACATAGATTATGTCTTTGTGTCCTCTTGGTTTTTTGGTTATTGATCTGTGCGCTTTTATTGTATACCAAGGTTATTGATGCTATCTAACTTCTTGATCAGTAATTTGTTCTTAATATTCATGGCGGGTTTTTTTTTTTTTTGATACCCAAAAGTTTCAAATTATGGTGTCATTAGATTTGTTAACTTCTATGTATTTTAGTGTTTGTTTTTCTATTGAGTCTCTGCATACATTGAGATCAGATACTTAATGGTATTTTCTGTTACTTTATACCTTCTTTTTTCTTAAACATTTAATGATTTTTGGATTTATTTTCATTTTTTTGTGAGGAAGAGGTCTAGTTTTGTGCCTGCTCAGGCCCACACAAAATAATCAACTCATTGTCTCCACTCAATTTATTGAATAACTCATTCTTTCCAGTGTTTTTAGAAATATGTGGATAATTAAAAAATAAGACTGTTTGAACTTGTGTTTAAGGTTTGAAAAGGCCTCTGTGGAGTACCAGGAGCACCTGTGTGCCATGACAGGTGTCGATTGCTGCATCTCTAGCTTCGACAAATCCGTTCTCACATTAGCTAATACCGGGCGTAATAGTGCCAGCCCCAAGCATTCTTTGAATGGTGAGCATTCCAAGTTTAAACAAAAAGTTGTAGTCAAATAATTTGTACTCATGATCTTACTGTACATTTTTAGATATCTCTGCTCTTTGAAATATTTATAACTGCTTTGAATCTCTCTTGCTATTTTATGAAATGTTTTCACTTAGGTGAATCCAGAAAAACTGTGCTGTCCAAACCAACTGATTCTTCTCCTGAGGTTATAAATTATTTGGGAAATAAAGCATGTGAGTGCTACATTTCAATTGCTGATTGGGCTGCTGTGCAGGAGTGGCAGAATGCTATCCATGACTTGAAAAAGAGCACCAGTAGCACTTCTCTCAACCTAAAGGCTGATTTCAACTACATAAAGTAAGGATCTCTTTTTAGCTACAAATTATACTTAACCCCATTAAAAAATTTTTCGGTAACTTTACGTCTTATTTTATGGCAGAAGAATATTAAAATTGTTTATATTTATTATGACAAGATGCTTGTAATTATAATAATACTGCCATTCTTAAAATGACTACAGTGAGAAACCAACATTAGAGGTGAAGAAGATATTCATGCAATGGGAAAACATTTGTACATTGAAACAGTCATTTGGGATTGATTCTCAGAACCTGTTCTAAAATCTTAATGAAATAAATTTGTCACTGCTTTAGAAGGGATCATACTTGATGGCACTGTTTCTAAATTAGGTGTGAATATATCAAAAACATTTTTCATAAAGAGGACAGAGTTTATGACATTTGTAAATTAAACTCCCTTCCTTTCTTGTTTTCTTCTTTTATTCCTTTGAGCATTTATTAATATCTTAATTTGAAATTTGAGTACAAGCTGTGTCCCAGACCCTAGGCTGGGATGATAAGGGTCATTGGCCTTGCCACCAGGGAGCGCAGCTTCTAGTGCGTGAGTTAGTGGGTAATTTCTCCATTGAACATGTACTGAGCGCCAGCCAGTGGGGTGTGACGCTGTGTACAACAGACACACATTCTAACACTTGAGGAGCTGACCTAGTGAGCAGGAGACACAGGCAGACTAGGTTGTGAAAAACCATCAGGATGTCATTTGAGCACAGACTTGAGGAAGCAGACCTCTTGCAAAGATGTTAGACTTGGAATGTTCTGGAAATGCCTGGGAGGCCACTGTGGTTAGAGTTGAGTAAATAATAGGTGATAAGGGTATAGAAATAAGATTTTGACTCCTAGTAAGATAGAAAATCTTAGGTGGGATTTGAACAAAGTATCTGACTTACTGGCTCACTCTGCTAGGTTGTTAGCAGGCAGGAGGTGAAGGGCTAGGGTGGGCGCCGAGCATTTGGCCATTGAACTGTGGGGTCAAGGAACAGAGAGGAAAACGATGCTATTAATTGAAGTAACACACAGAGGGCAAGGAAATTTTTTCTGAGGTGTCAGTTATTAGCTGAAAGTGCAAGGACATGATAGAGCATAGTGGGGACACAGCAAGCCTGCCTTTGGAGAGGACTCAGACCCTGTGGTGGCAGAAATAATAAGTGTGTTGGTTAGCACACCAAGATAGTTCATTAATGCCAGGTGATTGTAGCTCACCTGAGAAGCTGGGATTCGTTAAGTTAGAAGCAGGCACAATCATTTCTAGTGCTGTATTCAGGCTGAGTTGTGAGGGATGTGATACAGTGAGAGGGATAGGAAAAGTTAAGAGATCAGCGGAGAAGAGGGAATTGAGAAACTATAAGTCCTCTTGTTGGTTAGATAGCAGCTGTAATAGGAATGGGAATAGAGTGAAAATAGATCTGAAAGTGGCAGTGGATTGCTAGTATGATAAGGCCCTCATCCTGGCCTTGAAGCTATAGACAGACAATCAGAATGAGTTCCAGGGATATACAAAGTTCAGGTCAGGTGAGGAGAAGGGAAGGAAAAATTATTTGAAAGAAGAGGAACAGGTTCTGTAAAACAGTGGAAAAGTGAGAAAAGGAGGGAGACTAGCAAAGAAAGAAGGTAGAACTAGGATATCAGATTGAGGCAGTAAGATAGGAGGCCTACTGGGGCTTTAGATGAGCAATGAGGTCAGGCAGGGGATTTAGTGGTAGCTTGGGAAGAATTGGGCGTTTAAGTTGCCCTGCAAAGCTCTAATGTTAGTGTTTTGGTCGGGCCCCCAAAGATAACATGCTGCAAAAAGAGGAAGGAAATGTGGAGGGTTGAGTATGCTAAACTGAGTATCTGTAGCTGTGAGTTTGTGGTTTGCACTCTAATTAAGATGGTAGTTGCATCTTCAAAATAAAAATAAAATGGTGGCCTATGTGGAAGGAACTTCATCACAGGAATTCTGTGTAACTGCCCTCTTTTCCTATAATTTGTTCTATTTTTTGAATGACTCCACAGCCTGGGGAGAGTGTAATACAAGCTAACCAGTATTTTAATTACAGATCACTAAGCAGTTTTGAATCTGGAGAATTTGTTGAATGCACAGAACAACTAGAATTGTTACCAGGAGAAAATATCAGTCTACTTGCTGGAGGATCAAAAGAAAAAATAGGTATTTGAGATAATTTTTAAATTAAGTATTTTAATGAACAAATTGTTTAAAATGTTTGGCTTAGTATACTTTAGTGGAAAATCTGGAAGTTTTTGTATATTTATTGGGGCAGAGTGTGAAGCAATAAATTAGTGCTGTTCTCTTTACATCTGGCAAATATAAAATAGTTTAATTCAAATTAAGCAAACTAAAATAGGCTATTGTAATACTTAGAGATCTATCTAGCCATTTTCTTTGAAAAAGTGCAAGTAGTGTTTAAATATTTTTCTTGCTTCACGTCTTAATATGGTTGACTAAATAAGTTGTTTATTATAACTAGAACATTTTAAAAGTAGTACTGAAGTTAAATATTTTGAATATTTTATGTGTTAACATTGATCTGATGAATTCAGTGTTTGCCCCATTAAGTAGTAGGTTGACTTACTGATTTTTGAGTCTTTGAAAATGAACTCATTTGGGGAGGTCTGAGGTATTATTTTATGTGAAGTATTTTTATACTTTTTAAAATACTTTTTTTATACCTCACATAAAGTAATACCTCAGACCTCCCAAAATGTTATCAGAAATGCTTGATCATAGTGTCTGAACTTAAATATGAACTTAAACATAAAAGGAGGTACTCATTGGTGATTGTTTTTTTTAATACTATCAAAGTATCTTGTCAGTCTTGCACATTAAACATGAATTAACTGAGTGGAACCTGTTTGATTTCTGTAGATATGAAAAAATTGCTTCCTAACATGTTAAGTCCAGATCCAAGAGAACTTCAGAAATCCATTGAAGTTCAATTGTTGAGAAGTTCTGTTTGTTTGGCAACTGCTTTAAACCACATAGAACAAGATCAGAAGTGGCAGTCTATTACTGAGTAAGTTTAATCCTAAGGAGGTAATACGTATTACATGTACCATATGGTAAATGTCTGTAGTTTGGTGGGAGTGAGGCAGTCACCGGATCATGCAGTGGTAGTCATAACAGCTTCATTTTAGTTGTAGAAGTTGTAGGTTGTGTAAAATGCTGCTTGCAAACATACAGAGGTTGAAACTAAAGAACGTTAAAAATTTCATATCCCCAAACACGAGTATCTTGACTTGCTTATGTCATTTTACTTAAAAACAAGCAGTTCCTTTTTCTTTCCCCTCTTCGGATGCCAGTATAGTAGCATCTTATCACACTGCTTGATATCCCTTCAGTGGTTATAAGTTGGAAAATCTGTTTTATTAATTAGCAGCAAATATTTTGTTTCAGAAATGTGGTGAAGTACTTGAAGCAAACCTCCCGCATAGCTGTTGGACCACTGAGACTTTCTACTTTAACGGTTTCCCAGTCTCTGCCAGTCCTAAGTACTTTACAGCTATATTGCTCTTCTGCTTTGGAGAACACAGTTTCCAACAGACTTTCCACAGAGGTGCGTATGTATACATTTTTAACCAGGATATTCTTCTTACCATTAATAGGCATTAGCGTGGACAGAAGCTGTTTTTCAAGTTTTTTTAAAAAGTTTTAAAAATAACATTTGTAGCATTTTTGGACAAGCTATTAATATTAAATCCAGAAATCTGAAATGCCATTTTCAGGCAGATTTTCATTGGAGAAATATTCGAGGAAGATGGAACCTAAGAATGGCTAGTTAGTCACTTAATTTTTCTTCCTTCCTTTCCTCCTTCCCACCTTTCTTTTTTTGCAAGAGGAGTTGATTATGAAAATATATACCAGATTGTATACATTTCAGATTTGACTGAAAAGAAGACACAGTGCCTCCCGTTCAAACAGGATAAAGTTTAACCAAAAGTGAACCCTTCCCAAGGGAAATAATCCTTGAGAATCTTTTTATGAAGCAGTAGTTCTATGTTTTTCTGTAACTTAGCTTTTGCTTTATAGAAAATAACCTTTTTTTTTAAATTAAAATGACCACTTTATTATAAATGCATTGATAAATTGGACTTAATATTCTGAAAAAAATATTTTTGCTTTTGGAAAAACAAAGGTTTTTGTCTTTTCCCCTTGTGATTGGAAGATACAGTGAAGGTAGAGGAAAGTTTAATAGATAAATCTAGAATAGATCTGAAGTAGCTGACCTGTGGGGTCATATGTAAGGATTCTTTTTACATTAAGTGGTTTTGATTTTTCTCTGGCAGGACTGTCTTATTCCACTCTTCAGTGAAGCTTTGCGTTCATGTAAACAGCATGATGTCAGGCCATGGATGCAGGCATTAAGATACACGATGTATCAGAGTCAGTTGTTGGAGAAAATTAAAGGTAATGAGGTTTTTTTTTTTCAGTAGCTTTTTTGAGATATAGTTACACATGTTGAATGTATAGTTCATCAGTTTTGACATTTCTTCACGTGTGTAGCCACCAATACAATCAAGATACAGAACATTTATGTCACCCCTAAAGGTTTCCTTATGCTTCTTCCCAGGTATTTCTCCTGTCTGTCCTGTCTTGGGCAACTGCTTATTTGTTTCCCATCACTGTAGATTAGACTTGTCTTTACTAAATTTTCTAATAAATTGTACAGTATGTTCTGTGTCTGGCTTCTCTTGCTCAGCATTTTATTTTTTAAGGTTCCCTGTGTTGCATGTGTCAGTGTTACCATCCTTCCTACAGTTGAGTATATCCATTGTATGAATTCACCATAGTTTATTTGTTGATCCTTTAACAGATATTTGAGTTGTTTTCAAATTCAGGCTATTATGTATAAAGTTGCTATGATATTCGTGTACAGGTCTTTGGTTGGGTATACATTTGCCTTTCTCTGAAATAAATACCTAGGATTGGAGTTGTTGAGTCATATGGTTTAACTTTTGAAATAGTTCAGCAGTTTCTTATAAAGTGGTTGTATATTTTACATTCCTTCTGACATCTGTGTGCTTGCCATAGTGGGTCTTTAGTTTTAGTCACTGGAGTGAATGTACAGTAGTATCTCATTGTGGTTTTATTTGCATTTTCCAGATGATTAATGATATTGAGCATCTTTTCATTTGTATAGTGGCCATTGTATATCTTTTTAAGTATTCAACTCTTGCCTATTTTTAATGAAGACTTAATATGTTCTGGATATTCAAATTCTTTGTCGGCCATACTATACTGTGAATGCTTTAAATAATTCAAGTGAATTCGGAATTAGCATTTGTATAAATATTTATGTCTCATTTTTAAGAAGGAGACGTAATGTTGAATGGATATTAGAAATTTCCTTTTGCTGTAAAACAGAAAAGTTGCCAGAATTCTATAACATTTGTCAAAAATGTGGTTGTCAGAGTTACTGAGTAAATTTGCTGTTCAGTTTTGAGTCAGCTGATGCTGGGATATGGACTTGTACTGCAAGGTGATTACTGGCAAGTCTGATTCACCAGGACCCTCAGTGCCACGTAGACCTAGTTTTGGATCATTTGCCCAACACTTGCAAATCGAGGAACCTCATGGCAAGTCATAAACTTCTGAATCACTTTGCTTTTCAGTTATGGGGATTGCCCCGCTTAGACTCTTGAAAGGATTGACAAGGTATATAAAAGCCTTAGCACAGAGCATGACATATAGTAGGACTACAAGTATCATCTCCTTTCTCATCCTTCCTGTACTGAATAAGTTTTAAAATTGAGAAGGAAATGTCAGTAACCTAACAGTTACTTTTGGAGTCAGAACTTCACTCTTCCTCACAGTTCTTTTTTATTCAGCAAACCCTATCAAAATACTGTGCTTTGTGCCAGGTACTGTGCTGTAAGTTGGGATGTAATGGTGAACAAGACAAGCCTATTTTCTGCATTCTTAGGACCAAAGGGATTCTGAAGTCTAGCAGGGAAAATTGTCATCAAGCTAGGAACAGCAACATGGTGTGCTGACTGGAGGTGCATGTACATGGTGCTTAAAATAATGCAACAGGGACACTAATTTAATCCTAGGAATCAGAAAAGGAGTTGGGGAGGAGTAACATTTAAGCTGAGAAAGAAGGCAGACTGATTTAGTTAGAGAAAACACCGTGTGTGAAGGCCACCAGCAGTAATAAAAGATTCTTAGAGGACTCAATTCTCATCTAAGGGAGAATGGGAAGAGATGAAGCTGGATGAGATTGAGATTAGAGTGGAATGCAAGCATCAATGCCTTACCAGTGCCTTCCGAATTTAGGAGTTGGGGAAGGGATGAAAGGAAAATTAAGTATTCAGACTTACCTTTGTATAAGATCAGTTCAGTTGCAGGTTGAAGAATGAATTAGAGGCTAAGGCGGAGCAGCAGAAGTCCCTGTGAAAGGTAACCAAAGTAGTGACAGTAGGGACAGAAAAAAGCTGATGTGGTGTGAAGGTTGACAGTAAAGTCTAAGATGACTGCCAGACTCCTTCTCAGGTAGCCAGGTGGATCATGTGCCTTTACCCGAGAAGGAAAACAGAGAAGGAAGGAAGAGATTTGTTGGAGGGTGGTGGGAAATGGATTCCTTGTGACACAGGTTAAAGTGCCTTTGAAATACCTGAGTGTAGGTGACTAGACTGGTAGGCATGGGACTCAGATGTCAGGTCTGAGCTAGAGATAAGATTCAAGAGTCATCGGCATTGTATGGTAATTGAAGCCACAGGAGCAGGTGATACTGTCCAGGGAGAGTATGCAGAGTGAGAAGAGTAGAGGGCCTAGGATCGACCCCGGCAGCCCCAATTGTAATGGATGGGATGGGTAGTGGACGAGGAGGAGACTGAGAAGCTGATTCTTCAGAAAGGTAGAGTAACCCAGGAGAAAACGGCATGGCAGAAGGGCAGAGGATACTTACTCAAGAAGGGGGGATGGTCTAGCTTTACCCTCATCCCCCATCCACCCGTTGGCCTAGGCTCTTCACTAGGAGCAGAAACTAAAAAGTTAACTTCTTAGACTGGACGATTTTTACTTTCATCTACTTCATTGTATACATTCATTTTAACAAACATTTATTGTTCATTGTATGCCAAACACTATGCTAACTCCTAGGGATTCGAAGATGATGAAAGATGAGTTATCTTTATTTAGGGAGGCAGTAGGAAAGGGAATAATTGGGGAAGGAATTTTTGGCGATGTTTTTGTGCTCTTTGGGATTAGACCAATCTGGGACTAATAAAACATTTTCTTCTTTCCAGAACAAACAGTTCCAATTAGAAGCCATCTCATGGAATTAGGTCTAACAGCAGCAAAATTTGCTAGAAAACGGGGGAATGTGTCACTTGCAACAAGATTGCTGGCACAGTGTAGTGAGGTTCAGCTGGGAAAGACCACCACTGCACAGGATTTAGTCCAGCACTTTAAAAAACTATCAGCCCAAGGTCAAGTGGATGAAAAATGGGGGCCTGAACTTGACATTGAAAAAACAAAACTGCTGTATACAGCAGGTTAGTAAAATAATACATGACTGTATACTAAAAATCATGTGTATGAATGTTACTGTGTATGGTGTAAAGTAGTAATAGAAAAGTTGATTTTTTTTTTTCAACTTTTGCAGAACATTTGCGTCCTGAATAAGTTTTGTGTAATTGAGTTATCTATATAGTTTGGTGCTTTTGATTTTGTTATTGTTCATTATAGTAAGAAATGTTTCCAGAAATCATTGATTATCACTGAATCTACAATATTACTTTACCCTGAAAGGATATCATTTGTTCATAGCTAAGAGCTGGTGTTTTGATCTTTTTATAGGCCAGTCAACACATGCAATGGAGATGCTGAGTTCCTGCGCCATCTCTTTCTGCAAGTCTGCCAAGGCTGAGCATGCTGTTGCCAAGTCAATTCTGACGTTGGCTAAATGGGTCCAGGCAGAGTGGAAGGAGATCTCAGGGCAGCTGAAGCAGGTTTACAGAGCTCAGCAGCAGCAGAACTCCACGGGCCTTTCCACTTTGTCTAAAAACATACTCACTCTAATTGAGCTACCATCTGGGAATGCGATGGAGGAAGAGTATCCTCGCATAGAGAGTGAATCTACAGGTAGAATTTGTTTTAATAGCTTTAAAATGTTAATTTTAGAAGTTATTTCCCCTGTTTTAAAGTTTACAATCTTGCGTGTGTGCTCAGTTGTGTCTGACTGTGAACCCATGGACTGTAACCCACCTGGCTTGTCTGTCCTTGGGATTTCTCATGCTCGAATACTGCAGTGGGTTGCCATTTCTTACTCCAGGGGATCTTCCCAAACCAGGGGTTGAACGTGCGTCTCTTGTATCTCCTGCATTGGCAGATGGGTTATAGGCTGACTATAGTTTGCCTCAAAAACGGTCTCTATGGAAATTTTAGTATATTGCCCAGAAGTGACTCAAGCACATTTCTTTAGCATCTGACACCACGTGGAAGTCACTGAACTCAAGCATCCCAAGCCATACTTCCCAACTCCCCAGTTCATGGTGCTTTTATGGACTTAGATGTTTTTGCTGGCAGAAAGGTCCTACCTGTGATATTTAAAATTCTTCCTCATACTGGGAAGAACTTAACACAGATATAGAATAGTGGCCTCTGATCCTGTTGACTGGTGAAGCACAAAAACTACATAAAGGTTGAAGTTTCACATCCTGACACTAGTGTTACTTACAGAAAGGTACTCGACAAATAGTTAATTCATTCAGTGTTTGAGTGCCTGTTATGGTAGGCACCATTGTCCAGGTTTTACAGATTGAGAGATACCTAGATGTTTTGCTAAAACATTAGAATTACGTTCATGTTGTTCATTTTGTTGTTGTGAATCCTAGAACTATAGTTACTTAGATTAGTCTTACTGAATAATTCTAATCTATGTACTATAGGTGTCTTTATTCATAAGGCATATGGCTTGTTATCATTATAAATCTTCATATTGGCAAGTGGCACTATAGCAGGAGATTTCTTCATTTCTAAATTGGGGATAAAGATATTACTTCATGAGTCTCATTGAATGAAATTGTCTACTTATCACATTATTTTTGCCAGAATTTTTAAGCTGAATCAAATTGTGAGGAAATGGCCAATCATATCCAAAATACAAGACACTCTACAACACATCTGACACCTGAACTGTTTGTTAGGTTCAGTGTCATGAAAAACATTGATGTGTTTTACAGGAAGCTTACTTGAGAAGCTGAGTGATTCATTTCAACATATTAGCCTTTCAGAAAAGTATAATACAAATGTGTGCTTTATCAAATTATGTACCATTATAATGTTATAGGACTTATTGGCTGATAGCAAATTCCTAAAATGTAAATAAGAATGCTGTTAGAAATTTATGAATGTGACATTGTTATTTTTTTTTTTTTTCCCCATCATGGCAGTACATATTGGAGTTGGGGAACCTGACTTCATCTTGGGACAGCTGTATCACCTATCTTCAGTACAGGCACCTGAAGTAGCCAAATCTTGGGCTGCATTGGCTAGTTGGGCTTACAGGTGGGGCAGAAAGGTGGTTGACAATGCCAGGTGTGTATATTAAAACATGTAATTTATTTAATGCATTGTAAAATAGAGATTTAAAATGTCTGCTGACATGGCAAAGCTTTGGTAGCTGAAATACTGATGATTTGTTTTATTTTTATAGTCAGGGAGAAGGTGTTCGTCTATTGCCTAGAGAGAAATCTGAAGTTCAGAATCTGCTCCCAGACACCATAACTGAAGAAGAAAAAGAGAGAATATATGGTATTCTTGGTCAGGCTGTGTGTCGCCCAGCGGGGATTCAGGCAAGAAAAACATGATAGAGTATTTTGGGGGAAATAGTGTTCTAAATTGCATATACCTGATTAAATATTTAAGATGAAACTTTGATAAGATTAAAGGGAGTTAAAATATTTTTCTAAGAAGAATGATTTTCTTGAAAAATCAAGTCATTTCCTTAGGGTTCTATTAAAAAAGGTGAAGTTCTTTTTATGTAAAATAGATTTTCTGTTTTCATTGCTGTTCTGATCAGATATTAGGTTCTTATCACTAGCTTAGAAGCTTTTTAAAATATGCCCATGTCTAAGCACTACCCCACATACTCTGAATGGAATGTTCGTGTATGTGTTGGGCATTGGAGGGTTAATGTAAGTTTACTAGGTGATACTTAAATATACAGCCATCTCTGAAAACCAGCCGACTAGACAGTCTGTATGATTTATTCCCTTCTCTCTCAAAATTCTGTCAGTCCGACTTAGCTGTGGACATCAGCCGTGTGGATTTTACTTGCTGAGCTAGAACTGTTGACGTAGTTCTTGTTCTCGACTTTGGCATGTATCAGTGTCTGCCGAAGCTGGTGTTGGAGACGTGTGCAGTGTGTAGGGCGGGGAAGGTCATTCTTTGCAGGCAGAATATTATATTGTAACTGAAGCATTTAAATTCCCCAAGTCAAAATCTTTAATTTTTGCTAAAGATTCTTCTTTAGCTACATTAGCTACATTAGTAAATATATCTTAAAGAGAAGCATAGTAACATTGATTTAGCATGTATAGCACTAAATGTGGAATATTTTGATCTTTCATAAATGAGAAAATGCTTGCATATATTAGAAAAGTCATGTACTTTTCTCCTTTCTAAAATTTGTGTCCCCAAATAGCATTTTTTGCCCTGTTTTTCTTTAGGATGAAGATATAACGCTTCAGATCACAGAAAGTGAAGATAATGAGGAAGATGACATGGTCGATGTTATCTGGCGTCAGTTAATATCAAGTTGCCCATGGCTTTCAGAACTTGATGAAAGTGCAACAGAAGGAGTTATTAAAGTGTGGAGGAAAGTTGTGGATAGAATCTTCAGCCTGTATAAACTGTCCTGCAGTGCATATTTTACTTTCCTTAAACTCAATGCTGGGCAGGTAGGTTGCACAGTATTCTGGTATGAAAGTTTATTTGAAATTTCTTTTCTAGTAGATGAAAACAGTATTCGGAATTGTTTTATTTTTTCCTCTTGCCTCTCATCCTTAGATTCCTTTAGATGAAGATGACCCTCGGCTCCATTTAAGTCACAGAGTGGAGCAGAGCACAGATGACATGATTGTGATGGCCACGTTGCGGTTGCTCAGATTGCTTGTGAAGCATGCTGGGGAGCTTCGGCAGTATCTGGAACATGGCTTGGAAACAACACCTACTGCGCCATGGAGAGGTGATGGTCTAAATAAAATGTTTCCGGAAAAAGTACTTCTGGGTAGAATGTAATAAGACAGTTGAAACATAATAGTCCCTTAGATTTCCCTGGCAGTCCATTGGTTGAGACTCTGCGCTTTCACTGCAGGGGGTGTGGGTCCGATTCTTGGTTGGGGAACTAAGATCCCACATGCTTCATGGTGTGACCAAAAAAAAGTTCCTATATGTTTACTGTTTAAATGTGTTATGAAATAGCTAAATTAGTTCAGAGGACACTGGACGGCTTGTTACACAACTTCCCTCCCACCTTTCAGAGGAATGGAAGGCTGAGAGGCAAAAAGCTTTTAATATACAAAAGGAATTTTGGAGAGAGTGATAAGAATGTTTCAAAAAATTTCATACCCCTTTGAAAAAATTGTCAATGTATGCCTTCTTTTACAGAAATTCACAGAAAATATATTTTTGTATAATGTTTTGAATCAGGATTTTGGTTACAGCTCTGTACCCTTACCAAACCTGCAAATGAAGAGCTATGGTGTATATAGTTCTTTGTTATCCCAGGGAGAAATTTGAGGCTTGTAGAACTAATGACTGACATATATCAAGTTTTATCCTTTTGCCTCTACCATGTTGACTGGTTTTTTAAAATAATTTTAAAGTATTTTTCTTCTTATCCTAAAGGAATTATTCCACAGCTTTTCTCACGCTTAAACCACCCTGAAGTGTATGTGCGCCAGAGTATCTGTAACCTCCTCTGCCGTGTGGCTCAGGATTCCCCGCATCTCATACTGTATCCTGCAATAGTGGGCACCATATCACTTAGTAGTGAGTCACAGGCTTCAGGTAAGGAAGGTTAAAATGCTGCTACTTTAAATTAGTTTGCAAACACTGTTTATTAGGTAAAATTTTTTGAGCTTTATGCTCCATAGTTGATAAGAGTTTGTGATTTTTTTTTCCAATAATAATAGTACCAATAGTAATACCATTTACTGAGTGAGTAGCTACCATGTCTGGCAGTAGGATGTGTGCTTTACACTATGTCTTCAGTCTCAAAGTAACTCACCAAGGCTTGGAGAAACCGAGTCACTCTTAGTTCACTGAGCTGAATTAACTGGCAGATAAGAATTGAAACCAAGTTCTGAACTCTGCTTAGCCAAACACTTTATTTGTTGAGACTCATCTTTTATCATTTCCCCCATTTGTCTTTTATTAGCTTATAATATTAATAAGTATAGAAGCTCAACTTGTAAAAAGGTGTAATATCCATGATCCTTGGTCAGCTTAGTGCACACGTGCAAGAGGAGTTAAATGAGTGCTCTGGAATCAAATACATACAGATGTTTCCCCTAACTCAACGTATGCACATGAGAGAAACAGTTAATGTATACCTTATCCTCCCATTTCATTATAGGAAATAAATTTTCCTCTGCAATTCCAACTCTACTTGGCAATATTCAAGGAGACGAGCTGCTGGTTTCTGAATGTGAGGGAGGAAGTCCTCCTGCTTCTCAAGATAGCAATAAGGATGAACCTAAAAGTGGACTGAATGAAGACCAAGCCATGATGCAGGACTGCTACAGCAAAATTGTAGATAAACTGTCCTCGGCAAACCCAACTATGGTGTTACAGGTACAGAGCAACTCATATGTTTTAAAATAAATTTCCCCTCTCCTCCCTAAAAACAAAACCCCTAAAGCTGTTAAGGAAATTATAGTTAAGGAGAAAAGCTTTTAAAATAATCAAAATTGGTTTTATAAATTTTTACTGATAGAATCACTGATTGAGGTTCTGTAATTGGATAATGAACACAAGATGCACCCATTTCACTTGAAATTTGCAGTGTTAGCAGAACTGCGCTGTGTGTAGACTTACAGATGAGCATGTTTGGATGTGCCATGTGTGCAGGTTCAGATGCTTGTGGCTGAGCTGCGCAGGGTCACTGTTCTCTGGGATGAGCTCTGGTTGGGAGTTCTGTTACAGCAGCACATGTATGTCCTGAGACGAATTCAACAGTTGGAAGACGAGGTGAAGAGAGTCCAGAACAACAACACCTTACGCAAGTATGTTTTTATCAACTTATACATCAAGAACATAGCTGCCCCTTTTTATTAATGTAAAATACATATAAAGTTTGCTGTTTTTAACCAGTTTTGAGTGTACAATTTAGTTGCAGCAAGTACATTTACAGTGTTGTGTCCAGTTCCACAACTTACCCATCCTTCTAAATAGCAGCTCTGTACCCATTTAATAGTACTTCCGCATCCTCCCCTAACCTCAGTTCCTGCTCACCACTTGTCTACTTTCTGTCTATAAATTTGACTATTCTGAGTACCTTGTGTGACTGGAAACATACAGTATTTGTCATTTTTGTTGTTTGTTTCACTTACCATGTTTTGAAGGTTCATTCTGTATTGCAGCATGTATCAGAATTTCCTTCTTTTTTATTGCTGAATCACATTCCTTCATATGAATGTGTGTGTGCACGCGTGTGTGTGTGCGTGCACCAAGTCATTTCAGTCCTGATCAACTATTTGTGCCCCTGTGGACTATAGCCCATCAGGCTCTTTCTGTCCATGGGATTCTTCAGGCAAAAATACTGGAATGGTTTGTCATGCCCTCCTCCAGGGGATCTTCATGACCCAAGGATCAAACCTGCATCTCTTATGTCTCCTGCATTGGCAGGGGGCTTCTTTATCACATTTTATTCATGCACTCTTCTGTCAGTGGACACTTGAGTTGCTCCTGTCTTTTAGCTCTTGTAACCAATGCTTCTATCAGCATTGGTTTACAAGTATCTGAGTGCCTGCTTTTAATTATTTTGTGTGTGAGCCAGTGAATTTGCTGTGTCTTATGGTAATTCTGTTTAACTTGTAGAGGAACTGGTAAACTGTGCACCAGGGTTCCAGTTCCCACATATCCTCGCCAACATTTATTGTTTTCTGTCTTACTGATAGTGACATCCTAATGGGTGTGAAATGGTATTTTTTCATGTGCTTGTTGACCATTTGTATATCTCCTTTGTCTGTTTGAACCTTTGCCCATTTTTGAATTGGGTTGTTTTATTGTTGGAATTTTAGGAGCTCTCTAAATATTCTGGATTTTAATCCCTTTATGAGATACATTGATTTGCAGATATTTTTTCCTATTTTGTGTATTTTTCACTCTTGAAGATGTCTTTTGATGCACAAAATTTTTTAGTTTTGGTGTAACCCAGTTTATCTGCTTTTTTCTTTTGTGTTCCTCTAAGAGTTTTAAATGAAGTCTTAGCTTTTATGTTAAGGTCTTTGATCCATTTTGACTTTTTTTTTTTTTTGGCATATTAGTATCAGGTAACACTCCAGCTTCATTCTTTTGTAAGCAGGTATCCAGCTTTCCTAGCACCATTTGTTAAAAGGAGAAGCTGCATCTTTTATATGCTTGATTTTTTACAGTGCTATTGTGGTCAGTTACTTTGTAAATATTTTAGTAATTCATTTTGATTATTCTTTTTTTTTTTTATTATTCTTTTATGCTGTTTACTTGTACTTGACAATTTTAATTGTTCCTTGTTTGTATTGAAATCTATGTCTTTCTGGTCAGAGAAGAGAAAATTGCAATCATGAGGGAAAAGCACACAGCTTTGATGAAGCCCATCGTGTTTGCTTTGGAGCATGTGAGGAGCATCACGGCGGCCCCTGCAGAAACACCTCATGAAAAGTGGTTTCAGGATAACTATGGTGATGCAATTGAAAATGCTCTAGAAAAACTGAAAACACCGTCAAACCCTGCAAAGCCTGGAAGCAGCTGGATTCCGTTTAAAGAGGTATAGAAAAATCTAAGAGTGCTACTGAAATGGGAAATTCCATGAGAAAATAAACTTAAGTAAGGGGTCTCTTTTTCTTAGAACACAGAGAAGACTTTCTAAGCCCATGGAATGCAGTCAGTGTTCAGTTGCTATAGAGAGTATAGAGAAAGATGTTTTCATTTTTTTGAATTTGAGGTTGAGTTGTCTTAGGGTGGCAAGCTGCATCTACTGAGGGTTCCCACCAGGGAAGAATATACTGTAAGGTGTTAAACAGGGAAGGAGCTTGACTGCCTGCTATATTCTTCTCATAAACGATTAGCAAATTTAGTCTTGTACCTATGTAGCTTTTCTTAGTGGAGGGGTATTCGGTATTTCTAACAGACAAAATATTTCCATATAATAGCATCGATTTTTAAAAGTAATTTTTTCGACAGCAGTTCTGCATAGTCTGTTTGAAGGATGATTCAGTTCAGTTCAGTTCAGTCACTTAGTCGTGTCTGACTCTTTGCGACCCCATGAACCGCAGCATGCCAGGCCTCTCTGTCCATCACCAACTCCTGGAGTCCACCCAAACCTGTGTCCTTTGTGTTGGTGATACCATCCAGCCATCTCATCCTCTGTCGTCCCCTTCTCCTCCTGCCCTCAATCTTTCCCAGCGTCAGGGTCTTTTCAGATGAGTCAGCTCTCCACATCAGGTGGCCAAAGTATTGGAGTTTCAGCTTCAACATCAGTCCCTCCAACATCAGTCCCTCCAATGAACACCCAGGACTGATCTCTTTTAGGATGGACTGGTTGGATCTCCTTGCAGTCCAGAAGGATGATTAGTATGTTTAAATATTTGAGAATCCTTATTTGATCCACTTAATTCTGTATTTGGTTTGCATGTGTTTTAGCAATCGCACCATTAGTTGGGGGATCCTATTTATTACCTTTTATCTTTTTCTTATCCCTTCTTTCGCTCTCCCTTTCCTATATTGATCTTAACTGATTTCCTTACATTAGTAATGAAAATACTGTTAAAAGCTACAGTGTAGAGCCAAAACTACACCTGACTTTAAGTAGAAAATGTGAAGCAGAGGAAATGCCTTAGGAGCTCAGGACAAGAGCACTGACATGAAGGATGAAGTTTATTTGTGTGGCCTAGCCAAAACTTGTTTTCCTCATGTTCCAGCAGTAATTTCTTGCTTTGCGTTCTTCTCAGTGAATCAACCAAGAAACCCAGAGGAGATAGGAAGAATACTTTTTTATTTGGCCACACTGCTTGACTTGTGGGCTCTCAGTTCCCCAAGCAGGGGTCCTGCCTGTGCCCCCTGCGGTGGAATCTTAACCATTGGACCACCCAGGAAGTCCCAGTTTTTAAAAATTGATGTATAGTTGATTTACAATGTTGTATTAACTTCAACTGTACAGCAAAGTGACTTTTTTATATATATTTTTCATATTCTTTTCCATTGTGGTTTATCACAGGATATTGAGTATAATTCCCTTTGCTATACAGTAGTTCCTTGTTTATCCATCCTATATATGCTAGTTTGCATCTGCTAATCCTGATCCTTCCCTCTCCTGTACTCCTCCCATAGGGAATATTTTTTTAAAAACCCTGTGTGTGTGTGTGTGTATATGTGTGTGTGTGTGTGCAATAAGTCATAGAGAAAAACTTTAGAAGTACTGTGTCCCTCCATAATTATATCTTCCTCTCCATAACCACTGCTCTGAATTTTGAATTAATCCTTATTTACTTAAAGAAAGTAGTTTTTATTGATACATTTCTAAATAGTATAGTTTAGCCTCCCCCGTTTTTGAATTTCATATAAATGAGATTATATTTTGTGTGTACATTATGTGGTACATTTTACCACTTCCATAAATGATTCATCAGTGTTAGGTTTTTGCTTTTGGTTTTTAAAATAATTTATCCATATTTTGTATACAGTTGAACATGAATAGATTATTGAACAGTACCACAGTTTATCTTTTGTCCCGTCAGTGAATACTTGAGGTGTTTCCAGTTACCTTTTTCCTTTTACGAACAGATGTTGCTAAAGATTGATTAAAATTTTTCACGTGAAAGCAGAGCCCAGAGTTCATTAATTCAGGCGTAGATTACTGAATTAGCTAAGTAGGGATCCAGCTATACATGATCCTTTCTATGAGTTATTAGAACGATTGCATGTCTTCTGCATACTTCAAATAGTCCGTGCTCTAAATTATTACTAAATTTTCAGATGACTTTCTTAAAGGTGTGTGCCACCTTTAAGTTACCTACCAGTAACTGGCTCTGTCTTTTGTTCTGTTGCTAGGAGTGAAGTGATCTGTTTGGGTGTTGATTGGACATAGCTTAACACTGGGGAATTAGTTTGCTACAAGCCTTGAATTTTGTGATCACAGCAGTGAGTGTTTTTCCATCTGCTGTGATTTCATTGCTTATTTGGGAGAGGTCTGAACAAAGCAGAAATCACCAAGAGCATATCAGCACATCAGTGTTTCCCCTCCCAGGAAGGCCCAAATATGTAACAGCAAATTAAATGAACTAGACAAGAGGTGTTTGTATTTTAAATTTATCTGTAAGCCAGATTAAATGTCAAGGAAAATAAGTGCAGTGATGATGATGTACACTTTCCCTGTCTTACACACAGATAATGCTGAGTCTGCAACAGAGGGCGCAGAAACGCGCAAGCTACATCTTGCGTCTTGAAGAAATCAGCCCGTGGCTGGCTGCCATGACCAGCACTGAGATTGCTCTTCCTGGAGAGGTCTCAGCCAGAGACACCGTCACGATCCACAGTGTTGGTGGAACCATCACAATCTTACCTACTAAAACCAAGCCAAAGAAGCTCCTCTTTCTAGGATCAGATGGGAAGAGCTATCCTTATCTTTTCAAAGGTGGGGTTTAAAAACATTAATCTGATTATTAATGTTTTAATGCTCTGTGTGTGTGTGTGTGTTGTTTAGGTGAATTTCTATAAGTCATGAATAGCCTGGAGTATCATGTATTTTGATGGAACTTGTTGGAAGCTGTGTAGTGTGATTTTCTTTTGTTTCCTCTGTTCTTGGTTATGCATGTATACAAGCTGGGCAACTGAGATACAACTGATACTGCTGTATCTAATATCTTGTGGCTGAATAGAATGTTCTTTAATGCTGTCATTATGCCCTTTTGACTGTCATTTCTTGACTGCTATTGCTAATTGAGAGGGACATGAAAAAGTGGTATGTTTCCAGTCTCATTCCATTGCACTTCACCCTATTTGGTTATCTGTCCCAACCACTTTAATTTTGTTTCCACAGGATTGGAGGATTTACATCTGGATGAGAGAATAATGCAATTTCTGTCTATTGTAAATACCATGTTTGCAACAATCAATCGCCAGGAAACACCTCGTTTCCATGCTCGCCACTATTCTGTAACACCACTGGGAACTCGGTCAGGCCTAATCCAGTGGGTGGATGGAGCCACGCCCTTATTTGGTCTTTACAAGCGGTGGCAACAACGGGAAGCTGCCTTGCAAGCACAAAAGGTTGATTCAAATTAAAATATGTACTTTTATTTGAATGCTGATAAACAAGTATATGTATTAGTTTGTTCTCCATTACATGTGAAATATGTCTAGGTTTACTGCCCTTGAGCATTTTTTCAGGTTTATGAGAGTTAACGAAGGAATAAACACACCTTTAAATTTGGAGTTAATCACTATGGTGTCCTGTTTTGTACCTGTGAAATTTATACTTTGATTTAGAACAGTTTTTTAGAATTCATTTTAGCTGAGTATCTGAGTGCTTAGTATATGAAAGAAATAGTACTAAGTACTTCATATAAAAAAGGTAAATTTTTAAACAGTCACAGCTTCAAGTTCCAACATCTAGACAAAGAAAATGATTCTAAGTTGGATAGATTTGGGAAAGAGCAAGAGTTTGAACATAGGAGACTGTAGAACAATTACTGAAGGGTAGATTAGAGATGGAATTAGGAAAGGGCCATCTGCATTTTTGTGTAAGATGTTTCTAAATATGTGTTGTTAATTTTATATTATGATTAAGTCATACTGATGAAGAATGAAAGAGGTGCATAAATGAATGATAAATTTTAAACAGAATTATATGTTACAAAGAAAAGTGGAACTTGGATGTTGAGCTTGAGTTGAACCTCAAGAAAATATAACAGTAAACCAAGTTTTCAATAAAGTGATAAGACCTAATTAAGAAAAAGATAACATAGATTGCAGTCCAGAAGAATTGGCTATTTGATGCATGAGATTTAGCTAGCTAGGTGGAGAATGCTGCTGAGAAAACAGTTTTTAAAATACTACTTTATATTCAAGGTACTCTTTATCCTTATTTAAACCAAGTTAATCTTTTCTTAAAAATTTTTTAAAGGCCCAAGATTCCTACCAAACTCCTCAGAATCCTGGAATTGTACCCCGTCCTAGTGAACTTTATTATAGTAAAATTGGTCCTGCTTTGAAAGCAGTTGGACTTAGTCTGGATGTGTCCCGACGGGATTGGCCCCTTCATGTAATGAAGGCAGTGTTAGAAGAGTTAATGGAGGCCACACCCCCAAATCTCCTTGCTAAAGAGCTTTGGTCATCATGTACCACCCCTGATGAGTGGTGGAGAGTCACACAGGTATGTGTTTTGTTTTGGGCTGTCATCAGTATTATTCTTTGCCTGCGTCCTGTCTTGTCTTGTTCACCCTCCTCCGGCCGCCCCTCTAAAATTGGTAGTTTGAGACCTGTATTTGAATCTTATATTACATTTATTTTTATGAGGCGTGGCCATGACTGTATGAAGGCAGAATGAAGGGGATTATGGATGAAATGAAAAGTGGAATAAAAACTTTAGAAAGGGAAAAACTAGAGAGACTGAAGAACAGTTGTTTTTTTTTTAAGTCCTGCATTCTGTTGATGATGAGGTAGAACCAGCAAGGACCTCAGTGTTGTGTGCTGCTGCTCACCAAAGTCTGTGATCACATGCAGCATCCCTGAAGAGTGCCAGCTATTTGTATAGAAATAAGGGAGTAGGATTGTGGGGGTTTGTAAATTTTAGAGCATCAAGACCATGTTGGAAGGAAATTTGCTAATAATGTCTAACTTGCTCCCCCCCACCCCCTCTTCTTTAGTCTTATGCCAGATCTACTGCAGTCATGTCTATGGTTGGATACATAATTGGCCTTGGAGATAGACATCTGGATAATGTTCTCATAGATATGACGACTGGAGAAGTTGTTCACATAGATTACAATGTTTGCTTTGAAAAAGGTAAAATTAAAGTGGACTTTTTATATAAGGGTCGAATATATTTTGGTGAAAGGACAAAAATATAATGATTTGTCTTTTCAAGGTAAAAGCCTTAGAGTTCCTGAGAAAGTACCTTTTCGAATGACACAGAACATTGAAACCGCACTGGGTGTAACTGGAGTAGAAGGTGTTTTTAGGCTTTCGTGTGAGCAGGTATGTGGTTTTCCCTTACACTGCGTAGTGTACCTGTTACATTAGCAAGTCCTGTGGAATGAAAAGCTACATTTTAATGAGGAAGCTTTTGGCAAAACTTAATTAAAAGTTTTCTGAAAACAGGTTCTACACATTATGCGGCGTGGCAGGGAGACTTTGCTGACGCTGCTAGAGGCCTTTGTATATGACCCCCTGGTGGACTGGACAGCTGGGGGTGAGGCTGGGTTTGCTGGTGCCGTCTATGGTGGAGGGGGCCAGCAGGCTGAGAGCAAGCAGAGCAAGAGAGAGATGGAACGAGAGATCACTCGCAGCCTTTTTTCTTCGAGAGTAGCTGAAATTAAGGTGAGGCCAGTAGTAAGTCTTTGTCCCTTTTTTGTTAATAGTTAACAAGACCAGGGAATTCCTTGGTGGTCCAGTGGTTAGGACCTGGTGGTTTCGCTGCCAGGGCCTGGGTTCCAGCCCTCCTCAGGGAACTAAGATCCTGTGAGCTGTGTGGTGCCACCAGAAAAAAAAAAGGTTAACAGGTCCATAAAAAAAGTAAGACTCTAGTGTATGATATTGAAATGGCCACGAAGTAGGGCAGTTTGCTGTGATCCTTTGCTCAGAAATGTTCACATGAAAAGACACATAGTCGGATGTGAGGGCGATCTGGTTGCGACATCTGTCACCCCATTGATCGCCAGGGTTGATTCGGCTGATCTGGCTGGCTAGGCGGGTGTCCCCTTCCTCCCTCACCGCTCCATGTGCGTCCCTCCCGAAGCTGCGCGCTCAGTCGAAGAGGACGACCATCCCCGATAGAGGAGGACCGGTCTTCGGTCAAGGGTATACGAGTAGCTGCGCTCCCCTGCTAGAACCTCCAAACAAGCTCTCAAGGTCCATTTGTAGGAGAACGTAGGGTAGTCAAGACTCCAGACACATCCAAATGAGGCGCTGCACGTGGCAGTCTGCCTTTAAAAAAAAAAAAAAGAAAGAAAAGACACATAGTCACACTCCCACATGGGAGGTGGGTTAATGATTTGAAAAATATTATACCTTTTTTAGTATACTGAATGTGTTTGCCAGTGACTATTTTAAGTGTTCTTTAACTGGATAGTCTCCTTGATTTTAATTGGATAGTCTCCTTCTCCTTCTACATAGTAACCAGTGATGCTGATCTTGCTTTGTGTGGCATGGTGGTAACTGCATGTTATTGTAGAATTGAGTCTACATTTATGACCATGTGAATTGATTGCATTAGTTATCTTTATAAAAATGCAGGTGATCCACACTGGCTTTGTTGAGATTTAAGTGTAATAGCATGTGCAGAATGTCCTTCTAACATGATCCTTTTGGCATACATCCTCATACCTCACAGTCGGCCCTATAAGAATCTTCCTAATTATATCTTTTTACAGGTGAACTGGTTTAAAAACAGGGATGAGATGCTGGTTGTACTTCCCAAGCTGGACAGCAGTTTAGATGAATACCTGAGCTTGCAAGAGCAACTAACAGATGTGGAGAAACTTCAGGGCAAACTGCTGGAAGAAATTGAATTTCTAGAAGGAGCTGAAGGAGTGGATCATCCTTCTCATACTCTGCAACACAGGTTTAAAACAAGTGTTGAACTCGTAATTTATCTTTATTCCATTAAGGAGAACTTTTGTATTTGTATGAACATTATCAACTTGAATTAGAATTGCTGCAGCAACTCACATGAATAATCAAAGCTCTTGCAAGAACTGCAGTTTTGAAGTACTTACAGAATTCACTTAAATTTTCAGCTTCATTGTATTTAGATGTTTGAGTTACTATGGAAGATGGTGGACATAGTGGTTAGAACCGTGAACTTGGATTCAGAAAACCTGGGGTTTGGTTTTTTCCTCTTCAGTTTATGTCTGAATCCTTATTATTTGTATGGTGGATTTTGTCCACATGGCCAAGTTTTTTTGAGCTTTGATCTAAGTGAGTGAACCTTGCACAGAGTGGGTGCCTAGCACAGTGAAGGGTGGTTAAATGTGCAAGTGCCAGACACTGCAGGAGATGCTGAGATCCTGAGATTACAGAGATCTGTCTTCCAGTCTCAGTCTTCTGCACTTCAAATAACTCTGGTAAATGTAGAATTTTGTTTAAAATGTTGTGAGTATATTTAGGGGACTATAGCATCAGGAAAAAAACCAGAGGAGGAAACAGCATTTGAGTGGTATCCTCAAGATTGAAAAGGCTCAAGTATGAGCAAAATGTACTTTTAGAGTGATGAAAATTCCCAGCAGTCAATTAAAATTTTTTCCTTCCATTAGGTATTCTGAACACACTCAACTGCAGACTCAGCAGAGAGCTGTTCAGGAAGCAATCCAGGTGAAGCTGAATGAGTTTGAGCAGTGGATAACACACTATCAGGCTGCATTCAGTAACCTGGAAGCGACGCAGCTGGCCAGTTTGCTTCAGGAGATAAGCACGCAGATGGACCTTGGTATGTTAGATGTACGTGTGTGCATGTGAGTTTTGTTGTTATGTGTTGATGTGTGGAGCTCTGATTTGTACTGCCTTTCAATGACTGCTGATTTGAAATGGCTTCACTGTGATGGATAATTATCTTTTACCGAAAGGTCCTCCCAGCTATGTGCCGGCAACAGCCTTTCTGCAGAATGCTGGCCAGGCCCACTTGATTAGCCAGTGTGAGCAGCTAGAGGGGGAGGTCGGCGCCCTCCTGCAGCAGAGGCGCTCGGTCCTGCGAGGCTGTCTGGAGCAGCTGCATCACTACGCAACCGTTGCTCTGCAGTATCCAAAGGCCATATTTCAGAAACATCGAATTGAGCAGTGGAAGACCTGGATGGAAGAGCTCATCTGTAATACCACAGTAGAACGCTGTCAGGAACTCTACAGGAAGTAAGTTGATCACTCTCAATTTTCTTTACTTCTCATTGGGACTGGAAGCAAAGTTGTGTTCACATTTTCAATTGCATAGTATTTCATTTTCTGAAAGAAATGATTGATGGAATTTGAATGGAGTCACTTTCTTGTGGTTTTAAGAGGGTTTAAACTCTTGTTTTCCTTTATAAGACAGTGTTTTTTGTAATTAGTTAAAATGTATCTCACTCTTAGATAAAATGTATCTAAGAGTGGTGGGATCAGGTAAAGAGAGCTGAATTCACATATTGATTCTGTCACTCAAGTCATCTTTAGAAGTTACTTTTGCTCTTGAGACTTCTCTGTAAAATGGAAATGATGATTTCTGCTCTTCAAAGTTTGAGTATCAAATACAGTATTCCATCTTGTCTTTTTTAGTACTTTGTAAGGTGTGAACTTTCCTTTCAAGCACCTCTTTCTCTTTTATAAAGATATGAAATGCAGTATGCGCCCCAGCCACCCCCAACGGTGTGTCAGTTCATCACGGCCACTGAGATGACCCTGCAGCGGTACGCAGCAGACATCAACAGCCGACTTATTAGACAGGTGGAACGCTTGAAACAGGAAGCTGTCACTGTACCTGTTTGTGAAGATCAGTTGAAAGAAATTGAACGTTGTATCAAAGTTTTCCTTCATGAGAATGGAGAGGAAGGATCTTTGAGTCTAGCAAGTGTTATTATTTCTGCCCTTTGTACTCTCACAAGGTGAGTTAGCTGACGTGTTATTGAGACTGTTTCACTGTCCTGTGAACATTGGTGCTTATCGAGAGTTCATGTGTTTTTTGGTTGATCCCAAACTTAAGGTATCCTTGTACTTTTCATTAGTCTTGCCCAGTGTAAGACTGCTTTATTATTATTATTTTTCTCCCAGATTTTGAGGTATCCTATTTGTGTGTGTTCCACTAAATCAGTTTCACTGTACAAATACTTATCTCATTCAGGCGTAACCTAATGATGGAAGGTGCAGCGTCGAGTGCTGGAGAGCAGCTGGTTGATCTTACTTCTCGGGATGGAGCCTGGTTCTTGGAGGAGCTCTGCAGTATGAGCGGAAATGTCACATGCCTGGTTCAGTTACTGAAGCAGTGTCACTTAGTGCCACAAGACTTAGATATTCCTAACCCCATGGAAGCATCTGAGGCAGTTCATTTGGCTAATGGTGTATACACCTCACTTCAGGTGAGCACTTCTAAATTAGCTTAAATTTTGTAAGTTTGTTTTAAATGTTGAGTGTTGTACTTTTCATTTCTGGTTCTGAGAAGCAGTTTGACTTCCTCAGCCTTGAATGTTGCTTTATCTAAACTCAGGAAGCATTAAAATAGATTTCTCACATATTTACAGGAATTAAATTCAAATTTCCGGCAAATCATATTTCCAGAAGCACTGAGATGTTTAATGAAAGGAGAGTACACATTAGAAAGTATGCTTCATGAGCTGGACAGTCTTATTGAGCAGACAACTGATGGTGTTCCTCTGCAGACTCTAGTTGAATCTCTTCAAGCCTATTTAAGAAATGCAGCTATGGGACTTGAGGAAGAAACACATGCTCATTACATCGATGTTGCCAGGCAAGTGAATGCTAAGCTGTGCTGTTTTCTTGTGAAAGAGTTGGGAAGCCAGATACGTTTTCTGAGCTCTTATTTTACCGTAAGCTAGCTTTTAATTTTTAGAGCAGATATATATATAAACACTTGTAAGTTTTCTCTACCTTTGGCTGTGCTGGGTCTTCATTGCTGCTCAGGCTTTTCTCTGGTGGCAAGCAGAGTCTGTTCTGTAGTTGCGGTGGCTCCAGCTTCTCATTGTGGTGGCTTCTCTTGTGGAGCTTGGGCTCTAGGGCACAGGAGCTTCAGTGGTTGTGGCTTGTGGTCTCGGTAGTTGCAGTTCCTGGCCTCTGGAGCACAGGCTCAGTAGTTGTGCTGCAGGGGCATAGTTGCTCCAAGGCATGTGGGATCTTCCCAGATCAGGCATGCAACCCGTATATCCTGTACTAGCAGGTGGATTCCTTACCACTGAGCCACTAGGGAAACCTCAGTAATACCTTTTTAAAAATACTTTTATTTGGGGGAATTCCTTGGTGATCCAGTGGTTAGGATTCTGCACTTGCGAAGGGTGCAGGTTCAGTCCCTGGTAGATTCTGCAAGCTACACGGCATGGCTAAAACAAATAAAACCAAAACAACATTTCCCATCCCAACCCCCTCCAAAAAAGCAAAAAAACCCCCTTTTATTTGGAAATAATTACAAATTCATAGGAAGTTGTGTTTTTAAAAAAACATTGTTCAGGGATGTCTTATGTAGCCTTTATCCCTCCTTGAGTGTAGCATCTTGCATACCTGTGGTACAGTAGCAACACCATGAAATTGACTTTGATACAGTCCACAGAGCTTACTCAGGTTTCACCAGTTACATGTGTACTTGTGTGTGTGTGGTTTTGTTACATACACACACGTATTCTTTAAAGGCTGTAGTTTTTACTATATTTGTGCTCACACACAAAGTGGAATGTGGTATTTTTTAAGCCAGCACTTGGAATGCAATGGGAGCATCTGAGCCAGTTTAGCTTGCTAATGGAGTATACACGTCACTTCAGGTGAACACTTGTTAGCTTAAGTTTTATAAGTTTATTTTAGGTATTGAACTTTGTATTTCTCAACTCTTAAATCTAGGAAAACAGTTTGACTTTGAAACATGTAGAAGTTGAACAGTTTCTTCAGCCATGCAGTGTACATGCATAAACCCTAAGCTGCTTTGTCCCTTGTGATTCAGGGCCTCTTTCTTTGGCATTCTGTCCAGTTGCTGTCAGAAAATATAATTGAGAGAAGCAATGAATTGACCCATCATACTTCCCATGGGGAAATTACAAGATATAAGAAAGCAGAGAGAACAGTATAATGAACCCCCATTTTACCACCTTCAGTAATTATCTGCACTGTGATTAATCCTGCCCCCCACCCCCCCCCCCCCTTTTTTTTTGCTTCTGGTTAATCTTGTTTAAATTGTACTGCCCTGGTACTTTGAAGCAAATACCTTTTCATTCTTAAACTGCAGGAGAATTAATGTAGACTTATTTTCTTAAGAGGCCCTTCATAAGAAAAGGAACAACTATCCTTAATGTTTTCTTTTATCCTGCATTCAAAATTTTCCTATTTTCTCGTTTCTTTTAGTTGTTTTATCATAAAGTTTAAAAAACAAGTGTAATTAGTATAGGATAAACATTTGTCAGCTAAATAATGAGATTATTTGCACAAGAGCTTTATCATAAAGTTCCTAGCATTATTTTAAAAGTTAGATGCTAAGTCTGTACACTTTTCTTTCTCACAAAAGTTCAGCCCTTACTTTTCCTTGATGTCTAATCTAGATTCCCTTTACTCTCAAATAGAGAAATATTTACTTCCATGTAAGCACTGGGTGACAGACTTCATGTTTGATTCTGCTACAGCCTGTATGTATCTTGTGTTAGAGAAACTTTTTGGTAATCTAAATGAAAATTTTATACCATCATATAGCTCTTTTTCCATTATAAATTTCTCTGATAGCTTACACTTATATAAGATGTTTAACATGGTGCTTGGATACATAAACACTATGCAAGTCTTAAGTTAATTATAATGTGAGAGCAAATTTCTCAAGACCTGCCTTCAAACTGTGCATTATTCAAAACTCAGCATGCCAAAAAGGATAGCTGTTTCCATTCACTGTCTGTAGCTGACTGTCCTGTGACAGTAGTGTGAAGATACTTGACAACTTTTGCTAGGTCCACCAGCTATAGAATTGTGTGCCTTTTGATTTTGTTTTTTTTTAATATTGGAAGTGTATAATGTTCTGTATATAGAGAGATACTGTAATATTTTATATAGTTTTTTAAAACTGTCATAACTTCAGTTTGCATAAAATTTAATTACATGAACAATGGCTAATAACACTCCTTCCTTCATAAAAAGACTTTTCTCCTAGACTCTGCATACTAGCTGTAAGACTTGTTGATCTTAACATTTCCCCCCAAATATTCCTGTCTAGGAATGGTTTTAACTCCTTTTTCTTTTCCTCTAGAATGCTTCATGCTCAGTATGGTGAATTAATCCAACCAAGAAATGGTTCAGTTGATGAAACACCAAAAATGTCAGCTGGCCAGATGCTTTTGGTAGCATTTGATGGCATGTTTGCCCAAGTTGAGACTGCTTTTGGCTTATTAGTTGAAAAGGTAAATAATTGACCTGGTTTGATAAATAATGCAAGTGTAGTAAAGTAGTTGTTCTGTGTTTGAAGAGTGGAGAAATGAACTTTATTTTCTTTCATTTACATAGCTAAATAAGATGGAAATTCCTATAGCTTGGCGAAAGATTGACATTATACGGGAAGCCAGGAGCACTCAGGTCAATTTTTTTGATGATGATAATCACCGACAGGTGCTGGAAGAGATCTTCTTTCTGAAACGACTACAGACAATTAAGGAGTTCTTTCGGCTCTGTGGTACCTTTTCTAAAACTTTGTCAGGTAATATTTCACACTTAAGCCGGATTTAGTTGTACTTTGGAGGGAAATGGGATAGAGTTGGCTTAATTTAACTGTAAATTAAAATCTTAAATTCATGCCGTCTTCAAATTCTTAAGTTAGCATTGTCGCCTTATTTTAGTATTGTATGAAATACTTAAAAGAAAAATTTCCTTTTTTTAGGATCAAGTTCACTTGAAGATCAGAATACTGTAAATGGGCCTGTACAGATTGTCAATGTGAAAACCCTTTTTAGAAACTCTTGTTTCAGTGAAGACCAGATGGCCAAACCAATAAAGGCATTCACAGCTGACTTTGTGCGGCAGCTCCTGATTGGACTCCCGAACCAAGCCCTGGGCCTCACACTGTGCAGCTTCATCAGTGCTCTAGGAGTAGACATCATTGCACAGGTGGAGGCGAAGGATTTTGGTGCTGAAAGCAAAGTTTCTGTTGATGATCTGTGTAAGAAAGCAGTGGAGCACAACATCCAGGTCGGGAAGTTCTCTCAGCTGGTCATGAACAGGGCGACTGTGCTGGCGAGTTCCTATGACACTGCCTGGAAGAAGCACGACTTGGTGCGCAGGCTGGAGACCAGCATCTCCTCCTGCAAGACAAGCCTGCAGCGCGTTCAGCTGCATATCGCCATGTTTCAGGTAGGTATTTCTCCTCATAAAGGGGTTTGTCCTCAGTGTAGGAATTTGAAAAGCTGGGAGATTAATATAGAACAATATAAAGAAGAGAAAATTTTCAACTTCCCAAATTGTGCCAACCCAGAACAAACACAGCTTTAACATTTCTATAACATTTCTTGTTTACGTAGTTGTGATCGTTTTATGTTTATAGTTTGTGTCCTTTTAATTTGTTTCCATCAGTGTTTTATGGTGTTATTGTTAAATATTACTTGTAAAGGTAATTTCTTTCTCTTTCAGTTCTTCTCTTTCAGAAGTATAATTGCTTTACAACCTGTGTTCATTTCTGCTGTACAACAGACTGAATTCTGTGCATATGCATATATCCCGTCCCTATTGAGCCTCCCTGTCCCCCACCCTGTAAATGTAATTTCTAACAATTGAATGTATTTGTTAGGTGTATATATTCCTTGTGTACTAACATAATTATTTCCAAAGTGACATCTGTTTCCCTGAATGTCTAAGCTATCTGCATACCACCTGTCGTCATTTGGGAACTATTTTTTAGAAGCCTGTTTTTGTCCTTGTTTGTTTGGGGGCAGTACAGACTTTGGGAGTGAGATAGATTTGGATTCGGATATATGAACTTACCTTTAACCTCCCTTAAGATCTGATTTCCTTACCTGTAGAATGGGGACAGTACTATCTAAAAGGTTGATGACTGTGTGAATTAAAAATGATGATCTGGGACTTCCCTGGTGACACAGTGGATAAGAATCCAGCTGCTAATGCAGGGAACATGGATTTGATCCCTGGTCTGGGAAGATTCCACATTCCTTGGAGTAACTAACTACTGAGCAACTGTGCCACAGCTACTGAGCCCACGCGCTGCAGCTTCTGAAGCGTGCGTGCCCTGGAACCTGTGCTCTGCAACAAGGGAGGCCACTGCAACGAGCAGCCCATGCACGGCAGCTAGAGAAAGCCCGCGCAGCAGCCAAGACCCAGCACTCCCCAAAAGGAATACTTTAAAAAAAAAAAAATGTGATCTGTGTAAGACAATAAGTACAGTATAAATTACAGATTTTTTTTCTTATTTCTTTACTTCAAACCTTCAAGATTGTCAGTAGCTTCCAGACAAGTTGTGACTCATGGAGTAGCATTGGGGCTACTGGGGTTCTGGTTTGGCCCAAACACTGGTTACTTTGTATCATTTATATTGAAGCCACTTCCCAAGAGTGGAAATGGTGGGGCATGGAACCAGTGTATTTTTCTCTGCAATTTTCTCAAATAGCTGGTTTCTTAGCTCCTAAGTTAAGAAAAGTAATTTATTCAGATTCTGAAGTTGCATTTATTATGGTAACGGTCCATCTAGCACATTGGGATTTTTTTTTTTAATAACCTCTATTTTAAAAAGCCTTTATTTATTGGCTGTTTCGGGTCTTTGTTGGCTGTGTGCTGGTTGTGGAGAGCAGGGACTGCCCTCCATTTGTGGTGCACAGGCTTCTCCTTGCGGCGGCTTCCCTTGTGCAGAGCATAGGCTCTCGGCACACAGGCCTCAGTGACTGTGGTGCACGGGCTCAGTAGTTGTGGCACACAGGCTTAGTGGCTCCCTCCACAGCATGTGGGATCTTCCCAGACCACTGTCCCTTGCATTGCGAAGTGGATTCTTAACCGCTAGACCCACCAGGGAAGCCCCACGTTGGGCTTTTCTTGGCATTTATTTTACTTCAAAAAAGTAATGTTGAAAAGGTTTATTTAATAAATTTTAGAGTTTATTCATTGAAAAAGTTCACAACTATATGGAAAATATAAAAGTCCTTCCAGTTTTGTTCATCTGAACTCATTTTAAGCTAGCACAATATATAACTTTAAAATTTCAGCTCAGATGTCCCTTGGCCTTCTGGGGCCACCTTACAGCATACAAGATGCACGCACAAGATGGCTTGGTCCTCTGCCGTCAGATGCCTGCACCTTTCTGTCATTCTGTCACTTGCAGGTTCACTAGACAATTCTTTCTTTGACTGCTGCCGTCGTTCCTCTGTTACTTGCTTAGCTCCCATGCTGGGCAGCTCTTCTACCTACTGTGCTTATTCCAGCCTCTGAACTGGAGATTATATTTTCTGGGGATTGTGTAGGAAACTTTTACTTAGACTAGGAAATGCCTTCAGAATTGCTATTTAAATACTGCATATCAGTGATCCAAGGAATTTATCAGCCATTCTCTACCTCAGGAAATTTTCCATCTGGTTAATTCTTTTATTGTGTTTCTGTTACTCTTCCCTGCCCACCCTGCCCTGCTGCATCTGGACTTTTTACCTCCTCCCCCAGTCCTTCCCCTAGTGTCACGTCCCCTCTCTTGATTTTTTTCCGTGCTTACTTTATTACATTTCTTTTTCTTTGAACAGTGGCAGCATGAAGATCTCCTTATCAATAGACCACAAGCCATGTCCGTCACCCCTCCCCCTCGTTCTGCCATATTAACCAGCATGAAAAAGAAACTCCATACTCTGAGCCAGATTGAAACTTCAATTGCAACAGTTCAGGTACATTTTGTCATCTCCTCCTTCTGACACATCTTACTTTTAGAAATGACCTCAACTGTGGTGAGGTGCTCTGTTCAGTCTGTCCTTGGCTTTTAAGTCACAGGAACTTTAATACCTTTTGCACTTTTATTTTTAATTTGTGTCTTTTTCTCTTATCTTCCAAAGTAACTGAATCTTAGCAGTATATTTTGAACTAAGAATAGAGACATACTAAATATTTCAAATTTTTAATGAACTATTTAAGAATTTTTAATGGCTATTACTGTGCCATTATACATTAACCTTGGTAATGGTAAAAACTTGAATACCAAATTTGTTTTCTGAAAGTTTGGCATATTATTAATATCCAGGAAGTTAAAGGAATTTTGTGATATCAAAAGCAGCAAAACATTTTTCTATACCATTATTTTTGACTTTTTTTGGGTCACATCAGCAAAATATTTAATCTCGCCTTTTTTTAAATAAAAGAAACTGGTCTTGATGGTTTTATATACATCTCTGGTATTCTTATATCTCATATATTCAGTAGTAACTGACATTTTTGTTTTTATAGTTTAATATTAGTATGATTACAATCACTGTAGTAATATTTTTAAAAATTTTTTAAAAAATATTTTTAAAATTTTTAATAGAGCTTTTCTTGAGCTCACTTCTTTGAAGATTGAAATACCTTTTCTCTACAGCATATTAGTCCTAGTTTTCACTTTGGAGACTGAACTCAGGCCCTTTCTGATTCTCGAGGTGTCTGTGTGTGAGCAGGTGTCGGGGGGAAGAGTATTGGGAACTCCGCCACTGGAAATGTTGAATACTTAATGAAGCAACTTTGTTATGTTAAACCTTCGTATTGTGATAACCTGGCTGGATTTTTTTTTTACGATTATTCATAAATGTTTACATTTGTGGGAATCTGATTTTCATCTTTTACTATCAAAGATATAAATGGACTTTCTCATAGATAGCATATATAGTGCCAGTGGGAATTTGGTATGACAGGGGTTTGTTTTTTTTTTAAGACTGTTTAGAAATGAAAATGAAACTTCTTTCTGCAAAATAAACTGAAAGCCAGTCCTTACCTTCTCAGACATGTTTAGTCTTAAATACTCAATATGAAGTCAAGATTAATTCCAAAAGGTGACAGTTTGTTAAAGATGTTTTCTAAGTTACTTATGCCATCCTACTTCTTTTGAATCCGTCTTATTCATGTAAAATGCTCAACAGATAGGAAGTGGAGTCCTATTCACTGAGATTCTGCTGGCTTTTATAGGAGAAACTGGCAGCACTTGAAGCAAGTATTGAACAGCGACTCAAGTGGGCAGGTGGTGCCAACCCTGCCCTGGCACCTGTACTACAGGATTTTGAGGCAACAATAGCTGAGAGAAGAAATCTTGTCCTTAAGGAGAGCCAAAGAGCAAGTCAGGTATGGGCAGCTGTGTGCGCCAGCTTGTTCTTAGTTACAGGATTATGTAACTGATTTTATAATCAGGCACAGCACTGAACCAGTAGGATTCCCATATCCCATATATCCATTGCCAGAATTTAATATTTATCAACTCAAGTCCTACTTTATTTCCTCTATACTTCCTACTCCCTATCCTAAATTTAATGGTAATCTCAAATATTATATCATTTTATCTGTAAATATTTCAGTATGTATATATAAAGATGAGAACTAGTTACTAACATAATCACAGTACTATCACTGTACCTTGAAAGATGTCCTTAATGTTGTCAAATAACCAGTCAGTGTTTTCTGATCTAAATGGTAAATTGCGTAGGAGCAAAGCAGCAGAGGGGGGCGTTCCGGTTGGAGTTTGGATGTCGCGCAGACAGATTTCAGCGGGGTGTGGTGGGCTGTTGATGGAGTGAAACTTCTGTATTAAAAAGAATCGTGCGGAAGACGTGTTGACCTGACTCTGCTTAGGTGCTCTTTGGCCTTCTCAGACCTGACAGCATCAACCCAAAAGTCTTCATTTATTTACAGCTTTTATAAGAAATGGGTCTGTTTCCCATGAGAGTTATACATTCATGCATTTTCAGGACCTGGTCCTGAATTCTGGAAATGAATAGGTGGTATTGTTTTTCTTTCATTAATTGCAATTTTCTTCCTCATTGTGATGGTTCCACTCTTTTTCCTCGTCACAGGTCACGTTCCTCTGCAGCAATATCATTCATTTTGAAAGTTTACGAACTAGAACTGCAGAAGCCTTAAACCTGGATGCTGCATTATTTGAACTAATCAAACGGTGTCAGCAAATGTGTTCATTTGCATCACAGTTTAACAGTTCAGTCTCTGAGTTAGAGCTTCGTTTATTACAGAGGGTGGTAAGTCTTGATTCTTGGGAGTGAAGAGATTGGGTAATTTAAATAAGACAAACTGCATGCTCTCAAAATCAATATATTCACTAGTCTACATTTATTGAGCATGTACTGTATGGGAGATGTTATGAAGAATTCAAGGATGACTAAATCTTTCTTTTATCCCCAAAGGAACTTATTTATACAAATAATGCAGTGAATGAAAAAGTGAAAAGAACTCTCTGAGCTACAAGTAGAATCACTGTGGGGTTCCTAGGGAAGGAGAGAGACAATGAATAGCAAATGACTCAGATGCACTTTTGAAAGTAGGATAGCAGACAGAGGACTAGTGAAGGATGAATGCTGGAATATCCAGTTAATAAATTCAGCATTTCTACTTTGTGGGAAGGCTTTAGACTATATATTAGGAGGCTCTGGTTTTATTTTAAAAAGTTATTTACAGTGTCTTTAGGGTCCTAGCTGTGTGTCATCTTTGTTACTCCAAATATATTTTCTTAGGTTTTAAACTAAGCATTTGTTCCCTGTATAATTATGCAGAGGTGTAAAAATCTCAGTTTGTATTTTGTAGATTGTTTAAATTATCAACTATTTTTAAAAATTTATTAAAAAATTTAAGAAAACAACTGTTTTCTAGTGAATTAATCCATGACTCAGCAACTGAGGTTCTTTGTATCAGCTTGAGTTATGAGTGTCTTTTGATGTGATGTTGATGAAAAGAATCTTATATTTTTCTGTCTGATGCTTAAAATCAAACAAACCCTTGTTCTGTTCAGGACACGACTCTTGACCATCCTATTGGCAGCTCTGAATGGCTTTTGTCAGCACACAAACAACTGACCCAGGATATGTCTACTCAGAGGGCAATTCAGACAGAGAAAGAGCAACAAATAGAAACAGTCTGTGAAACAATTCAGAATCTGGTTGATAATATAAAGACTGTGCTCACTGGCCATAACCGGCAGCTTGGAGATGTCAAACATCTCCTGAAAGCAATGGCCAAGGTAAGATTAATACCACTGACACATAATTACTCCCCCCTTTTATAAAATTACAGAGTTTTATTCATGAGAAAAAAACCTAATTTCTCCACGGTCATATATCCGGTTTGTCACTGAGTTTATTTGTGTTTTCATCAACTGTCAACTGTTTTTTTTTTTTTTTAAGCATGTAGTAAATAGTATTCTGATTCTGTACACAGAGAAACTGGGGCTTAGAGAAATTGATTTATACAAAGTCATATAACTTATGGAAGAGCTGAAACTTGAACTTGGTCTCACAGAGTATTTAGATCTCTAACTCCCTTCTGCCTCGCAACCCAAATCATATAGTTTGCTTCCAAAATAAATGAAATATTGCCTCTTCTCTCCAGTATTATATAGAATCTAGATAATAAGGAAACAATCCTTAGAAAAGGCTTTATTGTCACAAAACGGTAGATCATTTACTTTTTGAAAAAAATTTTTTTTGGGTTGCATCGTGTGGCTTGTGGGATCTCAACCAGGGATCAAACCCGTGCACCCCTGCAGTGGGAGCGTGGAGTCCTAACCACTGGACTTCCAGGGAAGTCCCTGGATTTCTTTTTAGTTGGAGTTTTTATTTGTGCTGGAAACAAGATTCCTATTGAAAAGAAGTTATTAATAAATTGTAATAAGCAGACTAAATACATTGATATTAAAAAACCACTTGTTAACCTGTTATCCAAAAGGTGACTGTCTAAAGAGTAATACTGAAACAAATACCATTTTTCTTAATCATTAAAATATTGATTGTAGGATGAAGAAGCTGCTCTGGCAGATGGTGAAGATGTTCCCTATGAAAACAGTGTTAGGCAGTTCCTGGGTGAATATAAATCATGGCAAGACAACATTCAGACAGTGCTGTTTACATTAGTCCAAGCCATGGGTCAGGTTCGAAGTCAAGAACATGTTGAAATGCTCCAGGAAATAACTCCCACCTTGAAAGAACTGAAAACGCAAAGTCAGAGGTAAGAATGCCTTCAGGCCTGAATTTAAAATGTAAGCAAAACATCTGGTAACGTAAGTTTTGTTTATTTAATATTTTTTTCAGTTTTGTTCATACTTAACAAGTAGCTATTTGCTGAAGCATTTCATAAATGAGTCATTTTATTTTATATTTCAGTGTCTATAATAATTTAGTGAGTTTTGCATCACCCTTAGTCACTGATGCAACAAATGAATGTTCGAGTCCAACATCGTCTGCTACTTATCAACCATCCTTTGCTGCAGGTAAGACACCTCTATTGAGAAAAACCTGTATCTTGACCTGTTAATAATCTACACATAGATGCTAAGATGTTAAAGAGTCTAATATGTTTATTGGGCTTCCCTGGTGGCTCAGGCTGTGAAGAATCCACCTGCCAATGCAGGAGAAGCAGGAGACATGGGTTCTATCCCTGGGTCAGGAAGGTCCCTTGGAGAAGTGAAAGGCAGCGCACTCCAATATTCTTGCCTGGGAAATCCCATGGACAGAGGACCCTGACAGGCTTTAGACCGTGGGGTCGCAAACAAGTCAGACAGGACTTGGCAAATAACAACAAACATGTTTATAGTCATCATCACCTTTTTAAAGGTTTTCCCTAATAAACCTATTTACAAAAACAGAAATTACATCACAGATGTAAAAAACAAACTTATAGTTACCAAGGAGGGGGTAAGTTGGGAACTTGGGCTTGACATATATACACCACTATACATGAAATAGATAATGAAAACCTACCGTACAGCACAGGAACCTCCGTTCAGTACTGTGTGCTGACCTGTGTGGGAGGAGAACCTAAGACAGAGTGGGTGGAACTGACTCACTTTGCTGTGCGGGAGCAACTGACATGACATTGTAAATCAACTGTACTCCCATAAAAATGAGTTGTTTAAGTGAACAAAGCGTTTCCCTAAATGCTTGACATATTTCAAACTGAACAAATTTTGCCTTTATTTTAAAAGTATTTATGTTAGAGAGTAAAAATACTGTGTTCAGATACTGTCTATGATTATAAAATATATGTCTGTTAGGGAAATATGGAAAATTAATTAATAGAAAAATCTGTAGTTCCATTCCAACTAGAGGTAAAACCACTGTGTATTTGTTGACTTCTCTGTGTGCATGCACACACGTATACAAATTGTATCATTCTGTGACTGTACCTTTCCTTGCCTTTTTCCACATCTAGCTGTTTAAACTGCCTTTTTAGGTGAAGAGCTTTTATTTTAAGGGATAAGGATGTAATATCACATCTAGTATCAGGGTTGTCCATTTGCAGTTGATGATTGAAACAGAACTGCCCTGCTCCCCCATTTTCTGTTTACATGTATATTGAGCTACCAACTTTTTCTCTGTAGCAGTCCGAAGCAACACTGGCCAGAAGACTCAGCCTGATGTCATGTCACAGAATGCTAGAAAGCTGATTCAGAAAAATCTGGCTACATCAGCAGATACTCCACCAAGCACCATTCCGGGAACTGGCAAGAGTGTTGCTTGTAGTCCTAAAAAGGCCGTCAGAGACCCTAAGACTGGAAAAGGTAATGAGTTAAAATAAGGACACCTTAAGTATTAAATATTAACACAAAGTGGTGGCTTGACTTACACATGTCTCCATTGCCTCATAGCCGTGCAGGAGAGGAACTCGTATGCAGTGAGCGTGTGGAAGAGAGTGAAAGCCAAGCTAGAGGGCAGAGATGTTGATCCGAGTAGGAGGATGTCAGTTGCTGAACAGGTGACCATCTTTTAAACTTGAGCTACGCATTTTAATGCTGCTGAAGCAGTATAGGATTAAAAATTCCCTCACCCCCATCTTTGGTGGCATATTGAGAAATAAGGAATTTAAACCTATTTTCAGGCCTCAGAACATTTTGAATAACACAGCTCCTAGATTGTCAACTCTAACTCTAGCCTGTTAACACTTTCCTTTCTCCCTAGTCCTCTTTTAACCAAAATTTAATCTGTAAAGTGTTCCTGGGTGTCAGTTGGTCTGAAGTTATTACTTTGAAATTTTATCATTAATATTATTAAAATTGTATGTATAAATTCAGGAATGAATTCTTTTGCCCACAGCTGTTTAGTTTGAAAAGTTTCACACCTTCAGAAATGTTATAGGAATGCTGATGTATTATATATTCCTTGCCTACAATTGGCAAATCAGTTGTTAATCTTTTATTTGCCTAATCTTTCTGTGTAACACTTCTTGCCTAAGTACTTTGTCTCTCAAACAAAACATTGTAATAATATATAGCTATGATATATAGCTGTGATATAATTATAAAATTATCAACTCAGAAAACACTGGTGTTAATATTGACTGCTATCCACCATTGAGTCCATATTTAGGTTTCTCCAGTTATCTTCAGATATCCTTTTTGACTTAGCCACCCCCACCCATACAGAATTTAGTCAAAACTTATGCTGACGTTCATATACTTGTTCCAGTTTTAATTTCCATTTGACGTCTAGAACAGTTCCCGAGCCTTTTCTTTTATGACATTTATATTTTTGATGTGTCCAGACCACTTGGTTTGCAGATTGTGCCTCAGTTTATATGTCTGATATTTTCTTTATATCATAGCATTTTTGGCAAGACTACTTTGCCAGTGATGTTTTCTTAGAATTTTACATCATTGAATGTGTGTCTGTCTGTGCCATCTTTGTTATTAAGTTAGAGCACTTGGTCAAGGGTAATGTTCTCCTGAATTCTCCATTACACCTTTGCCTTTTCTTCTGTGGGGTAAAAATCTGAGACTTGTGAATATCCTATTTTTAATGGCTTGGCATCCATAATTCACATCAGCAAGAAAATATTTTTAAAAATTTTAAACACTGTTAGATCTCTATATTGGATCTGAGCTTAAGCTCTTCTTGGTTAAGAGTCATTCTTTAGACAGGGTATGTCAAATTTGTCAAAAACACTGGACAGTGTTCTGGGTCTAGGGGTATCTTTGCTTCAGAAACTTTCTGGTAGGTTAATGGGTTGTGTGCTTTCATGACTGCATCTTAGGTCTCTGTCCATTTTTTTTTTTTTTTTGAAGGATGCTTAGCTATTGTGCTTTATATTCCGATAGTTAAGTTTTATATAAAAAAATGTTAAATGGCTCACAGGAGTAGGGTAAGTATAGAGTTCTTTGCACACAGCTGTTGTAGGTTGTAATTCAGCAGCCATATAGTGAGCATTTACTATATAATTGGACCCTGATGGATGCTCTGGATAGAGAAATGATTGTATCTCTTACTATAAAAGAATATTTAGCTGAGTCAGAATCAGCAGATGTTTGCTGAGTGTCAAACTGTGTTCCAGAATCTGCTGGGCACTTTTCAGTTCACCTAAGCATTTGTCCAGTGAATTCACATGTTTAATCCCAAGAACACCTGTGAGGTCAGTGGCACTCTTTCTCCATCTAAGGATTTGTAAGGCTCAAAGGGGATTGTGACTTTCCCAAGACACACATTTGTAAGTTACAACATTAGGAGGGAAGTTCAGATTATTTAACTTCTTCCCACCATGACAACTCCACACCTTTGGGTAATTAATTTGGGTGATAAGAAACTTAAACAGTTCATGTAACTCAGATAAGAATCATGCTCTTTCAAGTTTTAAATGGCTTTAAATTCTATCCTGCCCATTTTTACAGGTTGACTATGTCATTAAGGAAGCAACTAATCTAGATAACTTGGCTCAGCTGTATGAAGGTTGGACAGCCTGGGTATGAATGGCAAGACAGTAGATGAGTCTGGTTAAGCGAGGTCAGACATCCACCAGAATCGACTCAGCCTCAGGCATCCAAAGCCACACCACAGTCGGTGGTGATGCAACTGGGGGCTTACTCTGAGGAAACCTAGGAAATCTCGGTGCGCTAGGGAAGTGAATCCTGCAGGACAGCTGCACTCAGGGATACGCCCAACACCATGGCCTGCAACCCCAGGGTCAAGGGTGAAAGAAAGCAAGCAAGCTCACCGCCTGAACACGGAGATTGTCTTTCTGCCACAGAACAGCTGCAGACGTGTCAGGAGGTTAGCTGCAGAAAGAGATCGGGATGCCGCGGAGCACAGTGATTTGGAACTCCATTCCACCTGACCCCGTGTGTACAATCCAGGAAAAAACCCCGCTCAGAAACAGAGGAAACTGGGGCCGCGAAGAAATCACAGCCAAGGAAGATTTGATGCATTCAGATTCTTGCATAACACTTGTTGCTTAGCAACAGTACTGGTCAGATTGACCAGTAAGTACAAAAAAAGGCTATGCGATACGAATTTCAGAAATGGACTGAAGAAGGAGAGCTATGTAACAGATACACTACATTGGAAGAACTTACTTCTGAAATGAAGGGAAAAAAACCCACCCCATCGTCCTCCTCCCCACCCCCCCACCATCTGCCCATTTCCCCCTTTACCTGATCTAGTAGATTAGCCATCTTTCACATTCACTTTTATTTCAATCCTTATATTTCATGTACTTCATCATCTCGATGCTGTTAACTTATATTTGGAGTGATAAACAGAAAATTTTCCAAAACCACTGATAACATGGAAAATGCAAGGATTGTTTAAAGGTCTGATGATCACATACAAAATGTAATTCTGGTTATTTAAGTCATTTCTGTGATTCTATCATGTACAGTTTCCAAAATTGTCACTGTGCATTCAAAAGTAATGAATCTAACAGACATTTGATTTAATGTACACTCCCCTCTGCTTATAGTGTACATTTTTGAGAGGTCATTCAAATTTTCCCTCTTCTGTGATTGCTGTAGTTTCTTCATAGAAAGTAGCTAATCCAATGTAATCTTTTACCTTTTTAAAAACCAGGATAGAGTACCTATTAGTTTTACATTGTTGATGACAGATTAACAATAAAGTGATGTTCTGGTGGAGGTAGAGTGAAATGTTTTTTTTAATTCAGTTTTCTCATTTGATACTTTTAATTTACAAGGTGTAAATTAAAAGTGCTTTAGTTTACCTGGCCTTTTAGGACATATACAGGAAACATGAGCAAAAAGTAAGAACCACCAACATCTTTTATTAAGTTCCATTATTAGTGTGTGAAGTACTTTGATTTTTGCACAGTTTTAATAGTTCAGTAGTAAATTCATGATCAAGGTTTCCTTAAATTTAGCATTGCATTTCAGTACTGACTGTGTAAGCTCAATTGTTGATCCAAAATAAAAATCCAGACTAGAATAGGATTCCTAAAATCACGTATCGACACAGAGTAGAAGAGGATTAAAATCTTGATTGAGTACATTTTCCCTGCAATTTAGAGATTAGGGCTATGATCACTTTCTAGTTGCCAGTCTTCACAAACTTGAAAGGAATTAAGGAAAAATTTCACATAGTTCTGGCCTTTCCTGTATTCTGATTGCCACATTAATCGGTAATCTTTAAATACTCATGGGAGAATGCATTTCAGTATCAGTGCTCTTTTAATACTTTGACAGGTATTATAAGAAAGGTGATATTTTTGAATACCCATGTGTCTAATAACAAGGAACCTAGTGCATCAAATTTTCTTCATTTTGAATCTTATTTTCACAATCAAAACAACCTATTGGAATAATAATGCCATATTGTGTTTTGCACACTGCTTTATTTCCTAGAGGCTGTTGCACTCATCACTTGATTACCTCTACTAAGATTAGTCTTTCAACAACATTCTTTGTCACAAGGAAAAACTTTTATTACAGTGATAAAACCAGTTCATACTAGTTTGTCCTTATAGACAGTAATCAGAAATTGCTTCTTCTTTGGCAAAGAAGAAAAATGAAATAGGTGAATTTTATTGCCTGTGAATTTCAGGCTTCAGAGGTACCTGGCACCTTATCCTAGCGAAAACAAAACAGCTTTACATAAAAAACATGTGCCTCTGCTGAATTATCCATCACTTTTATTTTAAAATGATCTCTCAGAGAATAGTGTGACATATACATGTTTGGTTGTAGGGCAGATATGCGTGATTGATGACTTCAAAGCTTGCTCTTTGCTGCATTCTGGACAACAAGACCTCAGTCTGTACTCTCTGGCTGCTTCTGGGGGAGTCATTTGACAAGTAGCCTTGTCATTTTGAACTGTTAAAAGAGAACTCGACAGTTAGGAGATTTAATCAGCAGTAAAAGGCTTTGGTCATACAGCAGATTCAGAAGACAGGTCTATATTTTGGTAATTATCTTGTAAAATGTGAAGTTCAGAGTGCTATGGTTATGAAGTCATACATTTTTGATAATACAGAAATAACCTGTGGAAAACCAGGGGTCTGCTTCCTCCCTCCCTTCTGTCCCCCATCCTCTCTCCCACCTTCCTCCTTCCTCTTCCTCCCGACCCCGACTTCTGCACTCCCTCTCTCTTGTGCTCTCTCCCCGCCCTTTCTTAAGATTCAGGGGGTCCAGAATAACTTACAACTTCTACAATTTGATGTGCCCTTGGAAATTGAAGTTTATCATAAGTGTTTTGCTGTCTTTTAACTTTCTAGAATTGCCTGAATTTTAGTTGCTTTTTCTATAAAGCTGTGGAGGCTTAGTAGTCTATGGAGCTGTCAGTATTTCTCTTTTACTCTGTTTCTTTGCTGTGTCTTGCAGTATCTCATTATTTCTGGTCATGAGTTCTTCACATAGTTTGCTAGATGATGATTCTTTTGTGTCTGGCACTTGTGAGTTGAGATACGTGAGGTTTCTGTGTGAGAACTGATAATCAAGCTCTTGATCTGCTCCCCTAAATTGCTCTTTTAGAGCCCAAACCCCAGGTTCAGGGTTGAGGGTTTGTAATACAAAGAAAAACTTCCATCACTTCTGCCCTTAACATTTGCCTCTGTTATCTAAGTGTCGTATATATAGTGTTTTTAATGTCCAGTGTTTGGTGTTATCTGCATTGTTTTTGTTTTTAATTGTTCTGATGTGTGAAATTTAAGGAAAGAGCCATTAAAAAAATTCCAAGCAGGGCAATGCAAGTACAGCCAAATATTAGAGTTGATGTGCAATCTTAGGTCCTTTTAAATCTGTTGTGATATAGGCAGTACTTTGAATTGAGAAGTCTTCCTGGCCTATTTTCCTCTACATATTTGTAATTACTCTGGGGCTTACTTGTTTTGGCAGTACTAAAAGCAAAGGAGCTGGTTCTTCTTTTCTCCCAGTTCTTTTCATATTAAAGAAGGCGCCTACAATTAGCCTGTTAGCTTCTGTTCATATATATAACAAAAATCAGTGAATGTTTTTCTGTTAGCACATTGAAGTACCTTTGTTTTACATAAAACCAGATATATATGAAAACCAATGACCTTCCATTCTGTATCTTGAGCTTGTAAAATGCCAGTAATTTAGAGCTAGGACTTTTCCCCTCTTAACTCTAGGAGGTAGACTATGTTAATAAAAGGATCGCTTAAAGAAGGCAGATTTTTTTCACTATTTGGGTTATATTAGAAAGATTCCTCCTATGGGGAAAAACTAGCATTATAAATTTTCCAAACACTGAGGAAGGAAATCCACTGTATTATGAACCCGGAAGGGTTTGTTGCACTTTTCCTGCTTTTTTTTAAGGCCTGGGTAACAATATCACCATCTCTTTTTTACAAAAGGGCAAATGAACTGCAATTGAGAGAAGCTTTATAGGTTCAGTGGTTAGTTGTACAACATGAACCATTTAGCCTCTTGCTTTCCATGGGAATTTGGGCTTACTAGGGAAAAAGCTGTTGTGCTGTTGTAAAAGTGTCATAAAATTAGCTTGACTTTGGAAGATGATAAACTTAACTGAATGTTCTGAAATGCAGACTTGCAGAATGTATGTCTTTCAAAACAGGCTTTTTTTTTTTTTCCTCGACAGTCCAAGTTTCAGCTCCTGTTTAAAGTTCTTTTATTTTTCCAGTTTAAATTTTCCTTGTATTTCCACCTGTAATGTCAATGGCAACATCACACTTCACTTGTTAATTTACTTTACCCTTGTTATATAAGAGCAAATTGAGTTGAAGTGAATCTTCCTTGTTCTAGTAACATTGTATAAATAAAGTGGCTTCTCTGTACAAAAGGTTGTAATGCCTCCTGATGGATATAATTTTGTGATTGTATTTAAGATTAAAAGTTGAATAAATCACACCAGCTTCCTGAAAATGCTCATAATGCATCTTTTGAAAAACAAAAGTACATGGCCTACTTTGTGCATATTTGCATTAACATGGCAAAGATTGTATGAAATACCTGTTTTTCAGAAAATAAAGTCTTAAAAGACGTAGCATTTAAGCTCTGAATTTGTTGAAGTAGTTTCCAGAAAACTTAATTTTGGAGTATGGCTAGCTTTTTTAAAGCATTAATACCTCCAAAAGTTTAAAAAGTTGATTCTAAGAAAATGTATTTTACATGTTCTAATATTTTTGAATAGAAGTGGAAATTTTACTTCAAAGTTCTTAGTATTAAGGCACAATTTATTAAGCTTCATTTTGTATATCTTTAAAAACTTCTGTAGATTATTATTGACATATATTCCCTGGTGTGTGGTGTGTGAAAAGCTCTGAAGGAAAACAATATCCAGCTTGTTTGAATATCTGGAAATCAGATTGCATTTGTTGCTGCCAGATTCTGTAGGAGGATCTGTTCAGTCATCTGATGCATTTCAAAAGCTCACATCCTGCCTTTGTAGTACCCCCCCCCCCCAAAAAAAAAAAAAAACCCAACCAACCGAAAACTCCAAAGGAAGCTACACCAAGTGCTGGCTGGGATTTTTAGTAATTAGG